CGTTGGATATTTTGTCACAGACAATGCGGAGAGCAACGACACGTGCCTTGAAGACTTGGGCACTGAGTTGGGGTTCAACAAGCAGCATCGTCGGCTCCGTTGCTGCGGCCACATCATCAACCTCGTCGCCCGATCCATTCTTTTCGGCACGGACGCCGACGCGTTTGAAGAGGATTGCCAAGCCAACAAAGAGATCCAAGATGAGGTCAGACTCTGGAGATCAAGGGGCCCCATCGGCAAGTTGCACAATATCGTTCACTGGGTGGAAAGGTCTGGCCAGCGCATTGAAAGGCTCCACAAGCTCCAATCCATTGAGAACACCGCCCTGGGCCTCGAAGACAAAACAACCTACGATGTCGTCATGGACAACGCTACTCGCTGGAACTCGTCCGAAGCGATGATGGAGCGGGGCTACATGCTTCGCAATGCACTCGATGCGCTGGTCCAAGCGGAAGTGACAGAGTGGAACCATTATGTGGCGAGAAGGACACGGCACGGGGCAAAGCCGATGCCGAAGAAGTGCCGCAAGAAGCCTACAATTGTGGACGACCAGATGGCCACTGAGGACTGGTCCGTTATTGCAGAGTATTTGGCGATCCTGAAACCATTGAAGATCGCGACAAAGCGCCTAGAGGGCCAGCCACGACAAGGCAAATTCGGCGCGATTTGGGAAGTTTTGCTCACAATGGAGTGGCTTCTGAAGCACCTAGAAGAGGCAAAGCTACAGCACGAACGGGACGAGGAACCGTACCTGCGAATCGGCTGCAATCTCGGCTGGATGAAGCTGGATCAATACTACGCCCTTACGGAGGATAGCCCTGCGTACCTCGCAAGCCTCGTCCTCCATCCCGCGTTTCGCTGGTCCACCGTCGAGTCGCAATGGTCCGATCATCCGGACTGGTTGGCCAGAGGAAGGGCGGCTGTGCAAGAGCTATGGGAGGAGTACCGAACCGTCGCGGTCGAGCAAGATACGATACCCGAGGAGCCCACAGCTGCAAGGAAGACAACGGACCTAGATGACTTCATGACCTCAATTAGGAAACTTGGCGCTCAACCTGCGTCCTCACCGTTCTCCACGCGTGACGAGTACGCAGAATGGGTGGGCAGTACCGATCCGGGCGATTGTCTTGTGGACAATCCCATCCAGTACTGGCTTCTCCGCAGACGCCAGTATCCACGCTTGTCGCGAATGGCAATCGACCTCTTTTCTATTCCGGCAATGTCTTCAGAGCCAGAGAGAATATTTAGCCTTGCCGGACAGATGGTCACAGCTCAGAGAGGTCGCCTCAAAGCGGACCTTATAGGAGCGGCTCAATGTATTTCGTCGTGGGAAAAAAGTGGGGTTATCCAGATATCCAAATGAGATCCAAATCGATTCAAATCAAATCAAATCAAATCAAATCCATGATTTTGCTATCCAAATCAAATCAAATTGGACCCTGTCACGAAAAATCAAGCCACCTGTTGTTCAGGTGACATGTTCAATTGAACATCAAATCTGCTTCGCGACAGACCCCGGATTTGATTTATCTATTTGCAAGTCTGGTCACGTGCGAGCGCCACGGACACGACTCCTAAAGGGAGCGATGTAGACACGTCTCCCTTTTACACTCTTTGTAGCTCAATTTACATCAATTACGCCCAGCACCTGTGCCAACAGTGCTGACCCCGTAACACTCGGAGACATCACCGCATTCCTGGCCAATGGAACTTTGGTCTCCACCAAGAAACGCAAGGCGACCGCAGAGGTAGATGCCCTAGACCAAGCGACTCTCCGCGAACTGTACTGCCGTTATACAGTAGCCTGCAGCCTCTCATTTGCTCATGTTGAGCAGCCGGCCTTTCGCGACTTTATCCGGTATATCCGTCCGGCCGCCGATGATCTCCTCCCGAGGTCCGGCGACACGGTTAAAAATGACTTACAATGGGGCTACGACAACAAAAAGGAGTTTGTAAAGCGAGCTCTGCAGAATGCTCTCTCGTCAATCCACATTGTTCCAGACAATTGGACATCGCCGAATTGTTTGGGCGTAATAGGGTTTACAGTTCAATTCGTTACCGAAGATCATGGTCTGCAGTCCCTGGTGGTGAGGATAAAAGAATTGGAAGGACAGCACAGCGGCGAGAACATGGCAGAAGCCATCATGGAGTTCATACGAGAATATGGAATAGCGACAAAAGTTGGATACTTTATGATGGATAATGCCACCAACATGAATACCATGATCGACAAAGTCTCCGACGACTTGGAGCACGAGTTCGAAGTTTTCTACGATCCTCTTCCTCACCGACTTCGCTGTTTCGGCCACATCATTAACCTGGCCGTGATGGAGTTCCTCAGGAAAGCGACCACCCACAGCAGATTCCTACCACGGACCGTCCGACGACGAAGTTAAGCAATGGAGAAAGCGAGGGGCGATAGGCAAATTGCATAATATCGTGGTCTACATCTGTCAGAACGGTCAGAGGACCGTAATGGGGCTGTCGAGCGATAATCACGATAGTCACAATAGTGATCACAATAGTGATCACAATGATGACCCCAAAAAAACCGTGTATTCCCCCCCCCCAAGGTCCAGAGGCGTAGGTCCTCTGGGCACATATAACAGAGGGTACTGTCGGCGCTATGAACCCCTAGGGTTCACCTGTAATGCTGCTGCCTACCAGGGGTCACCTGTAATGCTGCTGCCTGTCCCTTTAGTGTTGTGTCCACTTTAGGTGGCCTCGTTCTGACAACATCACCTGGACTCCCCAGCGACTTCAGACATTCACTGGTCTCACTGACGGTCTACGGCTACGGCGCGACAATGACACTCGTTGGAATTCGTGGCATAGCATGGTTGAGTGGGCCCTTAGAACAAAAGTCCGTCAAGGCATCACCATATTTTGTGCTCAAGAGCCTGCCCTGCAAGACGATGCTCTGACTTCCTCTGACTGGGTTACTCTGGCTGAAATTCACAAATTTCTCGAACCTTTTCACGACGCTACAATGGCCAACGAAGGCACCGGCAATTCCATCTCTGACGTTCTGCCAACCATGGACTATCTCTTGCATCACATTGAAGCGGCCAAGGAGGCCACTACCATCCCCCACTTGGCTACAATGATGGAGACGACATGGGCCAAATTAGCCGACTACTACGAATTGACGGAAGATTCGCCAGTCTATTCAGCAGCGACGGTATTAAATCCTTCCCTCAAGTGGGCATATATGGAGAAGACTTGGGACGACAAGAATGAATGGATTGAGAGAGCTAAAGCTCGGGTAGGGGAGCTCTGGAGGGAGGCATACAAATCTACCACTCCCTGCCCTGTTCTTCGACCAGCTTCCGCACAAGAGCCAAGTGCAAGACGACCAAATGGGTACAAAATGTGGATGAAAGAGCAAAAGGCTACGATTTTCAACATGGATGACGACGAGTACGAAGTGTATTGCCGCGAGCCTGTGGTGATGGTATCGGATCCGTTGAAATGGTGGTTAGAGTCAGCGCAGCGGCGACGGTTCCTAACTTATCTTTGATGGCCATTGACCTTCTATCGATTGCGCCTATGTCTACTGAGACAGAGCGGCTCTTCTCCAAAGCCAAACTTTCGGTAACCGACCAGCGAGGATCTATGAACATTGAAACTTTAAATCTCTTGGAATGCCTACGATCCTGGGACCGGAGCGCTCTGATACTCCCATCCGAGGTAAGATTTCTGTTTCGTCAGATGAAGATTGTCTAATTATGGATTCCAGTGTCGCTATATCGATCCGGAAGCCACCGGTACCGGGTCTGAGCCTCTGATTCAGGAAAGGGGCGAGGAAAGCTGCAGGTAAGGCAGGCAATTCGGTGAGGGCGCTGGAAAACTTGAAGGCAACCTTGCAGGTGCGACGGGTGCAATGCCAAATGTCAGACTATATGTTCACACTAATAGTGTAGACCACAGTTTGCACTGTAGTTCAGTTTGGCCGTGACGAACAGACTAATAGTTCAGTTTGAACATCTCAGGCACACTGGTAGTGTAGTGCGGCCAAGTCACACGCACTGAATGAGCAGTTTGAGGGGTCCAAACGCACTGGCCACACTATTAGGAGCATTGGAAGGGCCTTCCGTTTTGGGTCTGCACTCCCAACCACAAGACTATCCAAACCTGGCAAAAAGAGTCTGGTTAGTAAAAGTAATGAAAGACAAGCCAAATACTCACCAAAGCCAGACATAATACCGCCTTCGTCAACATTCACGGTATTTTCTGGTTTAATCCATCCATACTCCTTTTCCTGATATCGAAGAACCAGTGAACCGCCCGAGGCGTAAAAGCATTAAATCGGTTAGCTTCCTGACGTCTCCCACGCTTGTTCTTGATGTCCGGATGGCGATTAATGAATTTGGAGACCCAGTTGCGCCCACTGTCCGGTCGTTGTTCAGTTGCTTCATAAGAGCCTCCACACATGCGCGGATCTGACTGTGGGAGGGAGCATAGCCGAGAGACTCTTGGCGGAGGATCCAGGAAACCAAGCGAGCTTCCTGAGACTTACTCAATAGTTGACGAGGCTGGATCTGATCAGCCAGGGCTACCTGGCCTTTGAGTCTGTCGGAAATAGACTGCTGAGGTATGTCATACTTTTGGGCGGCGCGGTACTGCGACAAGCCGTTTTTTGTGACATCAATTATCGCATTAGCCATAGTATCCTCCGTATAAATACTCCGAGGCCGCTTTAAGGTCATTTTGGCCATGTGGTAGAGGAATAACGAGAAGAATCATCGTCAGGAGGCGGAAGGAGATTAGGGGGTTGGATGGTAATTTCGCGTGCAAGGTACGCACAGGCCACAGACCCCTGTACAAACATTCAACCATCGAAAAGTAGAATTCAATCAATCCTCTATCTACTCCAAGTGACGGCTTGTGAATATCTTCAAAGCTGGCTGGAATCGGTGTAAGTGAAATTGATGGTTTTTGGTGGGGATATTTTCTAATGCGCTACCGAAAGGTGGGTGTTACCGAAAGGGGGGTGGGGCATGGTAACAATTACAACAAGCCCAAAGGGCTACGTCAATGATATCCTTGCCCTCGAATTCATCGACCACTTCGAGCGTCACACCCGGCCCCAAGTCCCCGAAGAGGAGCGCCTTGTCTTAATGGACGGCTGCGAGAACCACTTTACATACGAATTGGTGCATTTTGCTACCAACACAATATACAGCTGTTCCCGTTACCGCCTCATGTGACTCACCTACTCCAGCCGCTTGACGTTGGGGTCTTTGGTCCCTACAAGCACTGGCATCAACAAGTGCTATATCGTGAGATTGCAAACGGAGCTACTAACTTCAACAAGACCGACTTCCTTTTCCATCTTCAAGAGATGCGTAACCGAACCTTTAAGCGGCCTACGATCCTATCAGCCTGGGAGAAATCTGGTCTCTTTCCATTCAACCCAAGCGTCGTCCTCGACCAGTTGCAAGATGCGTTATCCTCATTAACCGACTCTGTCCGCGAACGAGAACTCCTGGGTTCGTTGAGGAAGGCACGCCAATAGATGACGATAGTAGTAACGAGGATGCATTCGAAAATATGCGCTCTACACCACAGACGCCAACTTCTCGATCGATCGAAGCGGTTCCAGGCGGTAGAGGGCCAGCAACGCCCGTTACAGTCCATCGTATTGACTGGAAGACCCTCAAAACACCACGGCTAAATCTTCACGACATCCACAAATGCCATGAATTCATCAGACTACGGATAGACCTCTCTATTGCATCAGGTACGCCTATTACGCCGTCAGTTGCACACGTACAGGAAAAGTACGTAAAGCAGCGCACACCCGCACTCAATGGTATCACCGCCACGGATGAGATGAGGCGTCTCAAAGAGAATCAGCTTAGACGATCGAAACTAGCAGAAGGGACATCGATTGTAGGGAAATTCGGGCCATTAACCGTCCACGATTCGAGACTACGTGTCGCAAAAGACGAATACAACCGACTGGCTGCACAGGCTGACGAGGCACGAAGGCGGCTTAAAAAGGAAGTCCGTGAAGAGGCTGCGTTTTTGCGCCGCTGGGTTAGGCAGGTTAAGGGTACCTGCCGAGATAGTATCTCGAAGTCATCAAACAAGCAGCTACGGCTCCTTGGCCGCGACAAACGAGGTCTTCGAAGCTACATGGATAGTATCGAGTCGATATGTTACCAATACGCCGCTTTCCGTGCCCTTGGCGATCCAGATCGATCGACTGACTGTCCTTTCGCTTGGATATGGTACAATGACATTACGTACAATCGAAGCAGCGTTCTTACTTGGCCCAAAGACTACGATCGCGAGGTCGTACAGAAAGCCGTTGAATTGGTTATCTTAGAGACCCAAGAGAGGTCTACAGCACGAAGGGCGCTTACGTTTGAAGTTGACGGAATTGAGATTACTGAAGAGATCGTTATTGACGGGCTAACCGAGGAATTTGAAGCTATTATAAAGGAGGAATAGATAGGCAATCTAGCATCGTGAGACCATCAATCTAGCTGTATGTCTAATTGTTGTACGGATAAGTGCGTAAATCGACGTGGTGGGGCTTCGTGCGTTTATGGGGGGAAATTAGGTACATAATCCTACTAGTTAATTGGCGGGGCCGCTATGTACTCTTTTTTGCGAATCAACGGACTTTTTGCTACTCAACGCACCCCCCGTGCATGACTTGACATGCGCGGGAATCGGGACGGATTTTAGTCCCCCCAAGTACCACGCGTTACGCGTATTTTTGGTGGGAGCTACGGTCAAGCGCGAGTGGTGGGGTGTACACGGGTTCGGGGCGCGTCCACACATTAGCTCCCCAACTAAGGGGCTTGTCCCCTTAGTGGCTCCCGAAGGGCCCCGCCAACGGGTACAGCCGCAAAAACCGTAGACAATCATATCCGTAGGGTGTGGTTAAATCCACAACAGCTTCCGCTAAATCCACAAAATTTTCTGCCCCATCCCCCGCCGCCACTGCCGCACCCAATCAATAGTGGGGAGATTTGTGTAGGCCAACACCTCAAATGGTACTACCCGTTGGCTGAAGCTAGGCGGGGCGCCTAGCTTCAGCCAACGGGTAGGTGCGGAGCAGCTAAGCCAACTAAGTGCTGCGCACTTAGGCACTTAGTTGGCCGTCTAGGTGCTCCGCACCTAGCCTTAGCCAACGGGTAGTTGTCAGCTGATGTCTGTACCTACCTGGTCCATATGACCTTGGAACACGTGGTACCAATTACGACGACTGGATGTCTCACAACGGGGGGGAACGAGTCAGGAACGGTCAACCTTAGGGCATATCTCGTTATGAATTGGAACGGGGACCAACCAGCACCCCTCCATCGCCAGGCTTACTGATTCCCGTTGAACCATCAGGCTGAACGAGATGCGCCCAAATCGTCTTATATGCGTGTTCCTCGTGTCTCAGGAATGGGTCGAGAACTAGTGGAGCACGTGGACCAATGACGACTTGCCACCCCATGTTACCCATGCACAGACCGGAAACATCAAGCACCATTCATACGTAAACAAGGCGTAAATCCATCACGGACGACTATGATGCCGATCTTGAGGCACATAGCCGACAATTCTTCATGGCTCTACGGAGGAACATTTCAAAAGTTCTTGCTGACGCTAAAATAACCCCTGTACGCAAAAGGGAAAGAAAAGAACCCCGCACATGAAATTGTCGAGAAGAAGGTCCGAACGAAGTGACGCCTCTAGGTCTCTCTAGGTAATACAGCTCGAAACCAGGTAAGGAGGGAGGTTTGTGGTCCACTGAGGGGTCCGGAGGATCTCCTATTCGATCGGGATCCTCCAAGGAGCCCGGTATATCTTTACTGGCTCGGGGACCTCAAGAGATTGAACTATCGACCTAATAGCTTGGAAAGCTATTGATCGGGGAGATCGAGCTGAATGTGCTGACGTAGATGGCTTACGCGGCCTTCAGTGAGGGGCAAGGAGTGCCCTCTTCCTGATAGAATGTACATTATACCTGGACACGGGATATGAACACAGGTGTTGGAACGGCGCAGCAGGAAGGGCGGCATGGGTCACCTGCCAGGTCACGTGGGGCATTCAGTTGAGATTTCTGCGGGCCCAAAAAGGGGCACATTCCTAGCCGGAAGGGGAGAACACACACATCGCTCACACACACACAGCCGTGCCTATAGCTCCAATTGACCTCTTCTGTGTGCCCACTATCGTTGCCACCTTCCTCATTCGGACGAGCCGCAGAACCGCTGTTCTGACAACAGGGAAGGCACAGGAGTAACGAAACATGCACGGACGATTTCGAAACATGCACGGAGACTTAAACCCCATTTGGAAGAGTAGGCGCGCACCACAATTTGGCGCGCGCGTTCCCAACGCCGTGGCCGCCTCGTCGCGCCCGCCCTATTACTCGACTACCGGTATGTACGGAGGATGCATTCAATATTGCAAAGATCACCAACGCCAGAAGATGCGTCCTTGAGTCGTTCAATTGAAGCTATCACTAAGCCCGGCCCGACCGATTCCGATGTGTATGCAATATGCACACAGCAGTGGAAGGTGCATTTTTGGCCGCCTTGCCTACCTCTGTGACTGTGACTGTGACTGTGAGGAAGGATCCGTCCGACGCGGCGGAGGGCGAGGCACATAGGGAACGAATTTGGGGACGGCCCGCTCGCTGGAATTGCATGGTGCCGTGTCCGTCTGATCCCCTGGCTGCTGGAAATGCTCCTTACCGTCCCGTGAGACTGTGCCGGCGGCTGTGCCCACATGAAGCCGTCGTGATGTGCCTGTGTCGAGGAGGCGGTTCTTGCCACCGTGACGGCGCCGGTGCCTGTACGTATACAGGCACAAGTGATGTAGGCGGTGGCATCACAGAGTATCCCTGATGCCGGCGGCGCCTGTGGAAGTGAGGGTACCTGTGATAACGGTACTGGCGTTGCTGCTGCTTGCGACTTGATGAAATCACCGATCTGCTGAGCAAGATCGTCAACCCGGCTGCTCACGGAAGCAAGCGTATTCGACCTCTTGTTTACGACAGTAGCGCCCGTGCCCTTCCTCTTCCTTTGTGTCCCTGGTGGCCGTGACTCGAGATCGGATTTAGCTCTCTGCTCCTCTTGCTCCCAAGCACTAAGGATCCGGCCCGTGGATGCCTCCAGTGGAGGGGGTTGCCTCGGGCCCGTTGTTCGCACGCCGGCGAGGCTGGACAACATCGGGATCGGGCTCATGTCGTGATTCGATATACCGTCGTAGTTCAGGCTGATAGTAAATTAGTATATAGCTAGATAGGGGGGCCGTAATACTTACAGTAGGACCGTATAATAACCAGTGGGTATCAATAAGATCGAGGGGAATTTCAGCAGCCTGGCCCTCAGCATGAAGGATATTACGGATTGTATGCCGGCAAGGCAGACCCCATTGGGCCGTGAAGGCACCCGTACAATCCGTTGGCCGCTGGCCCCGTTTATCGGATAGCTCTTCCGTAGCTAACTTCGCTTGCTTAAAGATCTGCTTTATTGGCTGCCAACCAATTTTCCGGTATATTGACTTGAGGATAGGATATTTAGCCCATTCGAGCTGGACCTTCGTGAACTCGTCTTGAAGCGCTTCGAGATGCGTTTTCTGCCGTTGATCCACAAGTTGACGGATTGAAGCCTGTAGTTGCCAGAGGTCGATAAAACGGTTGTGTAAGAGACTTTTCAACTCGTGATGTGTGCTTTCAACCCGAGAAGTCACCGTAATATCGTAATTGCGGTATTGTTGGATGGCATACCTACAAAACTGGGCACGCCATGGATAGTAGGTTGTACGGAGGTAGTTGACGAGAGCTAAAGTAATTAGCAATAGTAATATATAACGATATATAGGGCTAGGGTTACCTGGCTGGTCGAAAAACTCTACACATAGTAGATTCCACTGCTCACTACACTCCTCAGGCGTGCGTGCCCTAACGACTGAAGCCCAGGCATCACGGATACCGTCAGCTGTATGCTTAAAGGTACGTTTTGGCGGCGGCGGCGGGATTGGGTTCCTTCGTCATCCCGTTCTTCATCGAGATATTGGTCCGCTAGCTGGGAGGCATGTTGTATCTGTGCCTCGGCGGTATGATCGATCGGTCGGTCCTCGATAGCGTTGGCGTTCGTTCGGTCGTTTGCGAGGGCAGCCGCGGCGCCGAGGCGAGTGTCTGCTTCATCTGCCCTATCTCCTATAATCTCGGTACCTTCGAGGCTACCAACCCACTTCTTCTTGATATGTAGGATCACGTTTTTCATCATATGCCAGACGCAGAGTTGTTGCTGTGTAAAGGGGGAAACAGAGGAAAGGGCGTTCTTGAGGGCTTTGTCAAAATCAGTAATAACAACGCCAGGAGCAGGAATGCTGGCCCGTCGGCCGGTATCGTAGAGATGTGAGAGAATCCAGTTGAAGGCGCCTTCGTCTTCCTTGGAGGCAATACCAAAGGCTACACTGTAGCTCTTGTGTAGTCCCGTAGTCCCAATGATTTGCAGCAGTGGCATGTTGAAACGGTTGACAAGATACGTGTTATCCATGATAAGGAGTTCCGGGTTACGCTTCCAGTCAGCAAGACAGTCAGAGTATATCCAGAATATCCTCCAGATCTTGCCATTAGGGCCACGGTCAACTGCAAAGAAGGCGACTTCCCCGTCGGCCTTTGCAGCGAGGAGTACGTCGAGGAACGCTTGTGTAGATGTAGTAGCGCCGTAGCGTTGAAGACGAAGCTGGCGCCGAATGTATCCTACATCACGATCGTTGATTAGGACCTCAGGATGGTCGCGTTGGGTAGCCTCGGCAATATCCTTCCGCATATTAGCTGCGTTGCTACTATAGGTCTCAACGAGACGGCATAGTCGTTCGATGCCAAATTTGCGTTGACTGCGTTGACGAATAAGGGCAGAGGCAGCCGGCGCGAAGAGAGGCTCGTGGCAGTGGGATTGACCTTGAAAGTAACCCTGTACGACTGCGAAGGTTGGTGGAATCGGATGTTACTGTAAAACAGGCATCCTGACTTTTTGGTTGACGTTTTGTACTTGCCTCATTCTCCTCCCAGGACCTATAGCTACCACTATACTGGCACCGAATGGTGGCTGCTTTACGCTTAGCCTTCCCGGAAGTCTTGCTGTTTGCAACGTTAACGACGTAGCCTTGATCTTGCTGATCATTCCGAAGTGCCTCAAGAGCCTCGGCATATGTGCAAAAAAGTGTGTCCTGGATAGATATAGCTCAGGGCCTTCGCCCTCGATCGTAGCCATCGTGGCGGCGCGGCGGCGTTGGTATTGTGTTGAATGAGAGTGGTGATAGCTTCAAACGCTCCAAATCAAAGATATGCGGCGTAGGCAGTAGGAAAAGGGAGGCGCGCGTTGGCTACAGTGGCCGCGGCAGCTCGCGTTGGGGAACGCGCGCGCCAAATTGTGGTGCGCGCCTACTCTTCCAAATGGGGTTTAAGTCTCCGTGCATGTTTCGAAATCGTCCGTGCATGTTTCGTTACTCGGCCGCGGGGGCCCCGAGGAGCTACAAGAGCCTAGAGCTCAAGGCCTCACCCGGGTGTCCCCCGGAGCTGCACACCAATCGACAACACCTCCACCACCTGCTTGCTACGAGGAGCAGGCACGGGGACTTCGCCGACTGTCATAACCACGAAGTGGCCCCGTATCGAACGCTCCTGCGGGAGAAGACAATCGCCATCGGGGCGAATCCCCGACTAACATTGCTACACTCTCTGCTTCCTTTTCTTTTCTTTTCTTTCTGCCCCGTAGGCCCTCCTCGAGGGGGCTTGCGGCCGGCCCATGACTTCGTGGGCTTTCTCAGTCACCCGGCCTCGGCCAAAGACTGACTACTATTACGGCTTCACTGCCGTGCCTGGAACCCGCTGACGGGGGAAGGGCCCCGAATTTCCGACCGGCCTCAAGAGCCGCAGAATTGCTAGATGGAGTGGTTAGGTGCTACACACGGTCCTTAGTCCAGGTACTCGGGATATTCTATGTATCTAGTCTTCTCTAGCCTAGCACGTCTTTTGCCCTTATAGGGATGTCCCAGACGGTAATCAATACTACTACTACTACTCCGGAGGGGGCGGGGCGAGCTGTAGGGGGAGTGGGCTGAAACAGGACTGCTGCTGTCGCCATTGATTCGAATGGCCATCTTGCCCTGGTGGTGAGGGCGGAGAATGGTCACGTTGCCATCACAATGCATGGTTTCGACAACAACGACACCAAGGAGAAACATTTCGTCAGCTAGCGCGAGAGTCGGGAAATTCTGGGATCATGATGCTGGCATTGCTGGGGAGCGAGGTGAAGAGCTGGAATTTTGGGAGATTGCGGGTGTCATAACGCGTCCTCACGGAGCTGCGGAGCTTCAGAGCTAGACTCTCCAGCTGCCCAAGCCGTTGATGCAGAAGCCCTCCGGACGGCAAAGGACGATGTTCTCCGCGAACCGCGTGTTTGCAGTAGATGGATACGCCCCCCCCTGTCTCAAACTCCGTCGCGGTTCTTACCCGCAGTTGTATGCCGTCAGAACCTGAGAAAACACGCAAAAGCTAGTCGCAGAACAGACAAGTATCGCAGATAGCGTAGAAGATCATTGGTGACTCCAATTCCGACGGCGTTAAAAGGCCAGCTGCATCCATTTAAGATCCACCAAGCCGCATTGTTGATGACGCCATATCCAACGTTTCCGGATGCAACGGCGGATTGCCGGGTCCGTCGGCCGGCTACTCTTCACTGTAGAGAAGGCGTAGAGCTTGATTTGAAAGCACGTTAGGGGAAACCGTGTATATAGAACTGGCCGTGGCGCCTGCTTTGTAGCCTGCAGGCCTCATCGCATCGGCAGAAGTCAAGCGCAAACTACAGCAACCCCATTAAGCCCAGCATCATGGCGCCCAAGAGATTCGCGGCCGAAAAGGCGGACCCATCGCCGCTCGCACAACCGCTCAAGTTCGACATCAGCGGCAAGACGGCCAAGAACAGGTTTATGAAGGCGGCAATGACGGAGCGGCTGTCATCGTGGGATCCCAAAGTACTGGAAAAGCGTGGCGTTCCGTCAAAGGAGCTCGTCAACGTGTATCGGAGATGGGGCGAGGGCGGCTACGGCGTCATCCTCACGGGAAACGTCATGATCGAGTACGACCAGCTTGAAGCTGCCGGCAATGCTATCGTCCCCCGCGACGCCCCCTTTTCCGGGGAGCGTTTCGACGCCTTCAAGGACCTGGCGACGGCTGCCAAGAAGCACGGCAGTCTCATGGTGGCCCAAGTCAGCCATCCTGGACGCCAAGTGACGGACCGAATCCAAAAGAACCCAATCTCAGCGAGCGATGTGAGGCTGGAAAAAGAAATGATGGGAATGCAGTTCGCCAAGCCGCGACCGATGGAGAAGAAAGACTTCGAAAATGTTATCGAAGGCTTTGCTCATGCGGCCGAGTACCTGCACAAGGCGGGATTTGATGGAGTCGAGCTTCACGCAGCCCAGTAAGTGGGCACCCATCACCAGACAAGACAAAGCCAAGACTCTTGCTTACAGTGTTCGCAGCGGCTATTTGTTGTCCCAGTTCCTCTCGCCTACGACCAACAAGCGGACGGATCAATACGGCGGCTCGGTCCTCAATCGGTCCAGAATCATCATCGAGATCATCAAGGCCATCCGGGAACGCGTAGCCGACAAGTCGTTCATCGTAGGCATCAAGGTCAACAGCGTCGAGTTCCAAAGCGGCGGGTTCACCCCCGAGGATTGCAAGACTCTCTGCGCGGAGCTGGAGAAGAACGAATTTGACTTTGTGGAGCTGTCCGGCGGCACCTACCAAGAATTTGTCATGAAGCATCAGCGCGAGTCGACCCGGAAGCGCGAGGCCTTCTTCCTCGAGTTTGCCGACATCGTGATTCCGGAGCTGAAAAAGACAAAAGCCTACGTCACTGGCGGCTTCAGGACGACCAAGGGCATGGTCAGGGCCCTCGACACCGTGCAGGGCGTGGACTGGCCGCCCGGTCTGCAACGAATTCGACCTTGCCCAGAAGTTGCTCGACAGCAAGGTCGACAGCGCAATCGAGACTCTGTTTGACGAGGAAAACTTTGGCATGATGGCTGTGGTGGCCGGAACACAGTGAGTCTGACCCGACAGGGGTGCTGCGTGTACGCGTGATTGTACGTGACGGCTGATGAGGCTCGCTTTAGAATCCGTGCCGTGGGCCAGGGAAGGGAGCCACTCGACTTTAGCAGAGAAGACCACAAGAAGATCTTCGAAGCGTCCATGCAGAAATGGGGCCAGACCATGGCGGCGGACAAAGAGGGCTCAAGGTACGGATATGTTGACATTGAGGGTCTGAAGCTGGAGCCATTCGGCGTCCCGTACGCAGCGGCATCGCTTTAGTAAGGAGTGACGAGAGGCTACTTGGGGGGACTAAAATCCGTCCCGATTCCCGCGCATGTCAAGTCATGCACGGGGGGTGCGTTGAGTAGCAAAAAGTCCGTTGATTCGCAAAAAAGAGTACATAGCGGCCCCGCCAATTAACTAGTAGGATTATGTACCTAATTTCCCCCCATAAACGCACGAAGCCCCACCACGTCGATTTACGCACTTATCCGTACAACAATTAGACATACAGAAGGTGCGAGCCATCGTAATGCCGCGGAAGAGCAAGAACAGCACCAAGCGCAACTCGAACCAATTCGAGTTGCTCGATGACGAGGATGACGGTACGAACGACAATGTGGCCTGTAGCATCATTATGGCCAATCCGACAAGCGCGGCCGACGTGACAAGGACCAGCACCCGCGGTCGCCCTCTGAAACCGACACTGCAATTCGACCCAGAACCGCGCCCATCACGAAAGAAATCCGCCGTCCCGAAAGCGAAATCGACGAACGCCGACCCCAGTGCAAACGAGGATTCATTGGCACGAATTGAAGCTCTCCTGCAACGCGTCGAGGAGCGGGCCGGAAGGGCGGAGAAACGCGTCGAGTCTCTGGAAGAGTTCATTCGAAACGAACTCTTCCCACGCGTCGCTGGCCCTCTGGAGTCCGCCACTCCAAGTGCACCTCATCAGCAACAGCAACAGCACCTGCCACCTTCGCCACCACCCTCTCCGTTCCCAGGACCACTGCCAGGCATTGGGTTGGACGTGAGTCGGGTCCTAGACAGCGATGTGAAGGACGGCAATGCCGGGACTATTCGTCGGCGCGCGAACGCTGCCCTTGAGAAGTTGGGTGTGACCTGTCTGGGCGTCAATTCTAAGGGAAACGGGCGTTTTCGGCTTCTCTTTCGAGAGTCGGACGTCGATAAAGTACGACAGAACGACACCTGGATGAGGACACACTTCGACAAGGGAACGCTATATGGGGAGCAGTGGTACCCTCTACGGGTTGATAGAGCCCATTGTGGGGTTGCGACGGATGATATCGGATGCGCCGTCTTTGGGCGGATGAACGGGGTGAAAGTGCACAAGATGCGATGGCTCGGGACAGCGTCTGTCGACAAGGAGTACCGCTCTCTGGTGGTACATCTGGATAAGAAAGAGGAGGTGGACAGGTTGCTTGCCAAACGAACGGTTGAGATGGCGAATGGCGAGTGTGCATACACGCGACCATTCGTTCAGGGACTTCAACCAGCGAGATGCTACCGCTGCCACCTCTACGGACACTTGCATTATCGCTGCAAGGCGCCAACTCCGATCTGTGGACAGTGCGGCCAACCGGGCCATTCTGCGTCGACCTGCACCTCCGACGTTTTTAAGTGTGCAGCGTGCGGTGGAAAAGGAGCACACAAAGCTACAGATCCTGGGTGCCCGGTGTATCGCCGGGAACTCGCCAAGTTACGACCGACACCTTACTAACATACATCCTCTGTCTTAACCTTTTCTTTTCAGCACAAACCCTCTACCTATACCTGTGGTTGCCCCACAGCTGGTAGGTTAGCTACACCGGACGGCTAAAGGCAGGTGGACTCTTCGTCAAATGCGGCGGAGGAGAGTGGTCTGTACCTCATCAGACAGGCTCCAGAATTGGAAAGGGACAGGTCAAATGAGCAAGAGACGGATTGAAGGATGTAAGAGAAATTTAGGCATTAGATCGGGACGAATTCCTTGGGCTCGGAACCGAGTATTGGACAACTCTAGATTAGGCTTAGCGAGTCTGACGCAGTGCCTCTGACTATCGTCAATGGCGAAATAAACATCATCATTAGACATACAGCTAGATTGATGGTCTCACGATGCTAGATTGCCTATCTATTCCTCCTTTATAATAGCTTCAAATTCCTCGGTTAGCCCGTCAATAACGATCTCTTCAGTAATCTCAATTCCGTCAACTTCAAACGTAAGCGCCCTTCGTGCTGTAGACCTCTCTTGGGTCTCTAAGATAACCAATTCAACGGCTTTCTGTACGACCTCGCGATCGTAGTCTTTGGGCCAAGTAAGAACGCTGCTTCGATTGTACGTAATGTCATTGTACCATATCCAAGCGAAAGGACAGTCAGTCGATCGATCTGGATCGCCAAGGGCACGGAAAGCGGCGTATTGGTAACATATCGACTCGATACTATCCATGTAGCTTCGAAGACCTCGTTTGTCGCGGCCAAGGAGCCGTAGCTGCTTGTTTGATGACTTCGAGATACTATCTCGGCAGGTACCCTTAACCTGCCTAACCCAGCGGCGCAAAAACGCAGCCTCTTCACGGACTTCCTTTGCCGCCTTCGTGCCTCGTCAGCCTGTGCAGCCAGTCGGTTGTATTCGTCTTTTGCGACACGTAGTCTCGAATCGTGGACGGTTAATGGCCCGAATTTCCTACAATCGATGTCCCTTCTGCTAGTTTCGATCGTCTAAGCTGATTCTCTTTGAGACGCCTCATCTCATCCGTGGCGGTGATACCATTGAGTGCGAGGGTGTGCGCTGCTTTACGTACTTTTCCCTGTACGTGTGCAACTGACGGCGTAATAGGCGTACCTGATGCAATAGAGAGGTCTATCCGTAGTCTGATGAATTCATGGCATTTGTGGATGTCGTGAAGATTTAGCCGTGGTGTTTTGAGGGTCTTCCAGTCAATACGATGGACTGTAACGGGCGTTGCTGGCCCTCTACCGCCTGGAACCGCTTCGATCGATCGAGAAGTTGGCGTCTGTGGTGTAGAGCGCATATTTTCGAATGCATCCTCGTTACTACTATCGTCATCTATTGGCGTGCCTTCCTCAACGAACCCAGGGAGTTCTCGTTCGCGGACAGAGTCGGTTAATGAGGATAACGCATCTTGCAACTGGTCGAGGACGACGCTTGGGTTGAATGGAAAGAGACCAGATTTCTCCCAGGCTGATAGGATCGTAGGCCGCTTAAAGGTTCGGTTACGCATCTCTTGAAGATGGAAAAGGAAGTCGGTCTTGTTGAAGTTAGTAGCTCCGTTTGCAATCTCACGATATAGCACTTGTTGATGCCAGTGCTTGTAGGGACCAAAGACCCCAACGTCAAGCGGCTGGAGTAGGTGAGTCACATGAGGCGGTAACGGGAACAGCTGTATATTGTGTTGGTAGCAAAAATGCACCAATTCGTATGTAAAGTGGTTCTCGCAGCCGTCCATTAAGACAAGGCGCTCCTCTTCGGGGACTTGGGGCCGGGTGTGACGCTCGAAGTGGTCGATGAATTCGAGGGCAAGGATATCGTTGACGTAGCCCTTTGGGCTTGTTGTAATTGTTATGCCTTTATCGAGGTTATCGTTAACCCAACGGACCGGGATCTGTGCCCTGGAAGGATGAGGAAAGGAGGATACTGCTGCCGGTCGCGGAGATTGACTCTATAGCAGTAATCGAGACCGTATCCCGAGAGTCTGTTAAGACGGGGTTATTGACTTCGTTAAAGGTCCAAATATACGTCCCGGTATGTAAATACCCCACCATAAAGCCTGTTTCATCGAAGTTCCAGATATTCTCGCGTCTGATGCTATTTCTATCGATGTACCTATTCCAGTCTTGGTAGAATCGAGAGAGGACTTCACGGTCTTGCATGACTTTACGCTTTGCGTCTCGGGCAACTGCCTTCGACGATGGAAATATTGTTTGTAGCGTTTTATAAATCGTCGAGCCCATGACCCACTAGCTGTAGTATTACCTCGGCCCGTAGCTTTGAGTATCGCGTTGGCATGTTGTTGTAAGGAGCGTTGCTGGATGTGGTGGCCTTGTGTGATGCGGCGATGCGCCCAGCATAGTACCTCCTTCTCTTCTTCCGGTGAAAGAAGTGTACGGTTGCCTCCATTGGTAGCCTTTGGATGATTGCCTTGAATACGAGACCGTAACCGATAGTAGGGTACGCGTAATGCAGCAGAAGCTGCCATGATTGATTGTACGGTAAAACCCATCGTGATAGAGCTGGGTTGCTGCGACGGTTCGCGTCTCGAGGTTATCGGGTGTAAAGCGCGAGAAATGAGGCAAGCCGGTCTCTGAATCGATCCACGTATTGATAATAGATGAGTTACCTTCTAGAGAGGCCATACTGCAAGGGATAGATAGTAAAATCGTAGTAATTGTTATCGTTAATTAACTAGTCTTGTGATGTACTAGTAAAGACCATGATGTCTAACGCGCATCGCGCGTCATCTAGCGTTAAATGCGGGTTGTTTTTCTTGTAACGCGGATATGTAGGAAAAGGGGTACCTTAATTTGTGTGGACCGCTCACTAAACTATAAGTCACTATTTTTTTTTGCGAATCAACGGACTTTTTGCTACTCAACGCACCCCCCGTGCATGACTTGACATGCGCGGGAATCGGGACGGATTTTAGTCCCCCCAAGTAGGAATTAGCCGACTTGGGGTAGGAAATATCCAGTCCCTAAACGAATCGTGTGAATAGCTGAGGCAATTAATTGGGAGGTCGAGGCAAAATAGGTACCTATTGGTACCAGCCAATTTATGTGGGCACTGCAAGTCGTGGCGTTTGCGCCACTTTGGGGTAGGAATTAGCCGACTTGGGGTAGGAAATATCCAGTCCCTATTATTATTGTATCGTTACTGCCTGCATTGTCCATCACAAAATATCCAAGGTTGGAAGTAAACCCCCAGTCATTAACCACTTCCAAAATTGCTGTTGCAAGGTGACATCCATCGTGCTCACTGTCGATGTCTTTCAAAGCCAAGACGTGGTGTTCCAACTGACTGTCTTCTGCAAGCCCGGCGCTGCTGCTCGCGAGCCAAGTCGGCGACGTAGCGCGCGGTGCTTCTCACGACAGAGGCCAGCTCCCTCGCAAAGTCGTCCCTTTGCTGCTTCGGTTTCTCCAGCCCGGCACGAGTTCTTTCGCAGCCCTGCGCGTTCGCCACGACGGACCCCAGAGGCTGGCGCCTAAAGTACTCGGAGCGCTCAAAGTCAATAACCATGAGCCTGCCTGCCTCGGCGTTGTACACTATGTTCCGCGGCTCGGCGTCGCGGTGAAGGACACGCAGCCGGTGCAGCGCCTTAAAAATGGTGCCGACGGCTGCGTCCATGTCCGTCTTGGCGAGCTGCTCCGGGGAGCGATGCAGCGGCTGTCCAGCCCAACTGAGGAACATGAAACGCACGTAGACGCCGCAGTTATAGTAGTACGGTAGCACTAGGTCAACGGTGCCGACACAAACAGGCACGTGTTTTCCCTGGATGGTCCGTAGTCGGTCGTATATGTCCTGCTCGTGTTGCAGACAGATAAGGTCGAGATCCTCGACCCCCTTGGCGACGAGCGTGTAGCCGTGAGACGACAGGCGAACCTTGAAGAGGGACCCACGCGACCCGGACAGGTGGAGCGGCGTACAGTCGGCGTCGCGGCCGCGGTCCGTGGCGAGCTGGTGTTGGACCAGCTGGAGGAACTCAGGCGGGCTGATGTGGGCCGGGCCGTGGTCTTGGGCGTTTAGGCACTTACTGTCGATGGGCCCGCCGTGGGCCAGGCCGAGGAGACAGGCCTGGGTGCAGAATGGGCGGGTTTTGATGTTGGGCTTAGGCGCGGGGGGCGACCGCTGCTGCTGTTCCTGATCTTGCAGCTGTTGAACTTGCTGTTGTTGCTGCTTCTGCTTCCGCTGTTTCTGCTGCTGCTTGCCTCGCTGTCCTCCTCCTTGTTTCCAACCACTCGCCGAGCCACCCCCTCCCGCCGTTTTAGGGCTAGGCCGGGCGCAAGACGGCTTCAGTGTCGACGACGACGGCGACTCGTCGTCCTTGTCCTTGGGCTGTACGCCGCCGTCGCCGCCCTGTTGCTTACACCGGGCGCGAGTCCGAATCGGCGACCTGTGAAAGCCCTTCCAACGCTGGGCCTTGAAGGGCGAGGCCCGGGGCGTCTTGCACTTACGGTCCGAGGGGGGGATCCTGCTCAGGACGTCGTCGAACTCAACGGCCCACGTGCCCAGCGTCTCAGCGTCGTCATGCCACGTCTCCGGCGGCTGCTGGGCGCGGAGAGCCTGGAGGACAAAGGCCAGGACCTGGGCCACGGCCGTGCCCTGGAGTCTCGTGCCATCGTCGTTGTCGTCGTCGTCGTCATCTGCCACGTCTTGAATCGGAACACAGACCGAGTAGTAGACGGTCGACGGGTCATCGGCAATGTGCAAAAAGACAAAGGCCTCTCCCGTACACACATAGCCGTACTGGATACCCTTGCCAATCATGTATGAAAAGAGCTGGGTGACGACGGCAGCGGCAAGCCGTCTGGCCGAAAGGTCAAAGCCCTCCTGGTCGTCCTGGTTGATGACGTCGCGGTCGGGCTGAATCTCCAACTTGAGGCCAGTGATGAGCTCGTCGACGGTCAACTTGTGCGGCGCTTTGTACTCGATGGCGAGCGCCGGAACCTCGACGCCGTCGCCGGTCTTATATATGCAGAACTGGTCCGCCCGGTTCCCCTTGCCCCTTGCCACGCGGTGAGGCCTGCGCGATGGCCTCGGCGTGACGGGAGCATTGCCCAGGGACAGGTTCTGTAGAGGCTCGGATAGAGCGTCCTCGACGGTGGCGAGGTTTGTGTGGCTCTCAAACTTGATGGTGCCCGCTAGCCCAAGACTTTGCCGCAGCAGCGGATCCTTATGCGCTCCGTCAACGAGCTTCTGGACGGCGTTTTCCACCACGTCACGTTCAAAGTCGCGCAGGCCAAGCTCACTGCTAATAGGCTGGAGTAACGACTTGACGTATTCCAGCTGATGCAGCGACGGGAGGGCGGGTTTGCCGACAAAGGAGTCGCTAGCGGAGAGCAAGGTCCAGATTTCTTGCTGCCGCGCGGCAAAGTCGTGCCACGGGGTGATGCGCCTGGGGTAGATGCGGCCCGTCGGGTTGGTCGTGTCGCCTTGGGTCGTCAGGGACTTTTCGGTGACGACGTCGATGGCGAGCTGGAGGGAATGGCAGGCATCGAGATATTGGGTAAGGATTTGGGGCCGCGACGAGGCGGCGAGTTCTTCAGCTTCTTCGCGTCGGCGTTGCTCCTCTTCGCGTCGGCGTTGCTCCTCTCGAAGCTGACGTCGCAGGTCTTCAATCTCTTCCATGTTGATTGTCGTATCAACACGTTTGTAGGAACTGGTGGAAAGGCAAGGCTCGAGGGTTTAGCCGACCGGGGCCACTGAACGATGCTGTCGAGGGAGCGTGCATGTGCGACAGGCAAAGAAGAGACAGGGTTCCGACGTCGGAAGTGGGCAATAAATGACCGATGGGCGTTGATTGCTGGCCGACAGCCAATTCCCGGCTGACTGTGAGGTGCGAGTGAATTCGTGGTTGCAAGCCTGGCCAGAGAAGTTGCAAGAATCAGTGAGGCGCATTGTTATTGTTGACGTCACGACGTGCGCTTGGTAGCCCAGCAACCAACCTAGTGGAGCACTGATCGCATCGGGAAACCGGCTCGAGCACTGGTCCCCGCGCTAAGGACCGAACGAGTTCAGTACACGCGCCTCTCTGCCAGACATCTGAGTAATCAAACATACACTCCTGATTTTCAAACATACACTCCCGACCTAAGCCCCATTTGGAAGAATACCCCGCCACCAAAATTTGGCGCGCGCTTTCCCAACGCCCTGGCTTGCCGTGACCATCGCCGCCGCCCACCCGCCCAGCCACCTGCCTTTTTGGCCGCCATCTGCATTTTCGCAATCATCAACAATTGAAGCTATCACCACTTGACTCAACACAACAGCAACGCCGCCGCCGCCTACCGCAATAGTCACGTCTAGTCAATCGTCCCGATGAATTCGACCGAAAGCAATACCAACAGTAGCATCGAGGCTATCACGGAGATGTCTTTCGATACGTATGATGAGGCGCTTGAAACACTCAAAGCTACGCAAGAGCTCCTTGGCTACGTCGTAGTCGTTGCAAATAGCAAGAATACCGGCAAGCCTAGGCGCAAGGAAGCCAATATCCGCTGTGAATACAGTGGTCAGTATAGGCCCTGGGACGAGGCAGAGGGTATATGTAACGGTCTCAACTGAGTGTGTTGACAACTAGCTGAGCGACTGCGACGAGTATCCTAAAGCTAAGGAGAAAAGAAGAAGAAAAGAAAAGAAAGGAAAGCTCTCGAAGATGGCACGAGCTTATAAGCGGAGCTCCGGTGGGTCTTGTCGAGAGCGGAGCCGAGACCCTCACGGGCTCAGCCCGTTACAATAACCCCTCCTTCCTCCCCGTTTCGATCGTTTCGATTGGGGTGGTTTCGATCCAACTTTCCCATGAACTTCTTCATACCTAGCCAGTGCTATTGTGTCTGCGACGTACTTGACTGGCTCCACGTCGGACCTATCCATCCGACCCATTTCACCAACACTTTCCACTCTCTCCCGACTTTCTTCCTGTCCAGAATCTCTTCCACTTCCCACAGCTCGCCATCGTCCGTCAAAATGGCCGGTGGGCGGTAGTCATCCGACGTCTGTGACGGTAGCGGATCGTCCGCTGCTAAGCGTAAGAGCGACACGTGGAACACGTTGTGTATTCCCGGAGGCGTGTCCAGCCTGCACGCGTGTGACCCAATGGTCTCCAGGACGGTGTACTTGGCCGACAGCCAATCGAGCTTCTTGGATGGCCGATTGGATCGGATGTTGCGAAGTCGCAGCCATACCTTGTCTCCAGGCTTGAACTGGTCTGACGGCTGTCTTCGCGAATTGGCGTTCTTCTCTTGCTGCTCTTGCGCTGACGCAATTGCCGCCTGGGCCCATTCCGTTGCCTCTCGAAATCGTTGCACAATGCTTTCAGCCCTGGTCACTGGGGACCTTCCGTCCGTCCGTAACTTCTCCTTGACTTGTATCGGGTCAACATGATACCCATGCGTGATAAAGAACGGGCTCAGGCCTGTCGACGTCGAGTTGTGATTGTTGATGGCCATCATGGCCGCTGGCAACAGCTCTTCCCAGTTATCCTGAGCATAAGCAGCAAAGATCCTCAGATATCTCTCGACTTCCTGATTCGCCCTTTCTGTTGCACCGTCAGTCTCGGGATGCCACGCCGTAGACAATCTTTGCTTCACGCGTAGCAGCTCGCAGAGCCTCTGCCATAGTCTACTGGTGAATTGCGTGCCACGGTCAGTGACGATCGCGCGCGGCACGCCATGGTGTTGCACCACGTTCCGTAGCAATGCTCTGGCCGTCGTCTCGGCCGTGATGTCCTTCAATGACTCAAGAACGACACTTTTGGACAGTCTGTCCGTCACGACCATAAGGTTGGTCGAACCGTTCGACTTGGTTGGTGGCAGGTCTGTCACAAAGTCAATTGACAGCTCCGACCAGATCCTGTCTGGAATAGGTAGCGGCTTCAATAAACCGCGACGCTTCTCTCGCCAAATGTTGCTTCGGCCACACACATCACAATTTCTCACAAATTGACGCACGTCTGAATCGAGGCCTGGCCAATAAAACTTGCGGCTCAACAAGGACTTCAGCATGTCCCGTCCGGGGTGTCCTGCAAGCGTTGAGTCATGCGTCTCCTGCATAAGCCGCGTGCGCAGGGGTTCGTGGTTCGGCACCCAAATTCGCTCGCCAGCAGAGCCGCTGTCCATCGTCAATCGAGCATTCCGAGAGCATCACGGGCAGTCCCCAATGCGACGGCAGACGCCTCTCGCCTTGCTGTACGGCCTTTCGGATGAGCCAATGACGATTGTGCCTGACACCTTCGTCCCATAACTTCTGCAGTTCCGGGTCCGAGAAAGGGTTTTCGATTGAGTCGTCTTGGTCAGTTGTTGCGTCATCGGGTTGATCCGTGTCGCCCTTGGTGACATAACCGCTCTTGACTTTTGTCACCAGGCCACCCTTGTTACGTTGCAGCAGCTGAACACGTCGTCCTTGCAACCGATCATCTTCGGCGCTGTGCGGCATGTCCTGTTCTCGTCGAGACAGCGTGTCCGGTACGACGGCTTCTTTGCCCGGTCGATGCTTGATGGTGAAGCTGTACCGCGATAGCGTCTCAGCCCATCGCGCCTGACGTTCACTCAGTTGCTGCTTCTTGGTGAAGTAACGGAGGTTGAGATGATCCGTCAAAACGGTAAAGGACTTCACACTCTCAATTCGGCGTCCCAATGCTCAAGGCAGCGAATGATCGCCAGCAGCTCTTTATCGTGGATTGGGTAGTTGCACTCCGCCGGTGCGTTTTTCTTTGAGAAGAAGGCCACAGGCCGCATGATGCCGTCATCGCCCTTTTGCGAGAGCGCCCCTCCTGTGACATAACCGGATGAATCCGTCTCCACAATCGTCTCTCTATCCGGATCCCATTGCGCAAGGACCGGCGCACTGGTCAGAAGAGCCTTCAACTCCTCGAAGGCCTTGTCGCACTCCTTCGACCACGCAAACACCGCATCCTTCTTTGTTAACGCCGTTAGAGGCGCGGCGATGTTGGAGAATCTGGGAATGAATTGCCGGTAATAGTTGGCAAACCCCAGAAAGCTTCTGACGCCTTTGACAGAACGGGGTCGCTGCCACTGCTGAATTGCCTGCACCTTCTCCGGGTCCACGCGGATACCTTTCCCGGCTTCGACGATGAAGCCCAGGTACTTGACACTCTTTGCCTCAAAGTCACACTTGTCGATATCAATCTGCAGGCCTGCATCTCGCAGTCGAGCAAGGACCTGCCTGACTTTGTTGCGATGATCTGCGAGCGAACCGCTCGAGTAGATCAAGATGTCGTCAATGTAAGCGGAACAGAACTCGTCGAGGAAATCTCGCAACGTGTGGTTTATGTAACGCTGAAACGTTGCGGAGCACCGTCAACCCGAATGGCGTGACAAGCCATTCGTAGAGTCCGTAACGTGTTCTGAATGCTGTCTTCCACTCGTCTCCTCCTCGACGCGAATCTTGTGAAATGCTGCGATAACGTCAAGTTTGGTGAGCCACTTGGCCTTGGACAGCGACCGCAAAGTTTCCTCGATCAACGGCAAGGGATATCGGTCTTTCTTGGTGATCGCATTCAATCCTCGATAGTCCACGCAAAAGCGCAGACCACCACCGGGCTTCCTCACGAACAAAACTGGTGCTGACGCTGGAGAACTACTTGCTCGAATGAAACCCTTGTCGAGTAGCTCAGTGAGAGTCTTTCGCAGAACAATGAGCTCTTCTCGTGACATGCCGTACAATGGTCCCCACGGCGGTTCTTTCTCCTTGTCATCAGGACCTCTCTAACTGAATCTTGTGATCACACCCCGGACGACGCGGTGGGTGTTGGTCCGCTTGGTCGCGGTCGAAGACGGATAGGTACTCGTGGTAGTGACGGGGCAGCTTCTCTCGGGTCTGACTTCTTCCTCGGAGTCAATGCCTTCTCAATGTCTTTCAGGCTTGCGGCGAAGATCCGCACTCCATCGTCTCGATGCTTGAACTTTCTTGCTCGGCGAACCATTCCGGCGAACACGAACGCCGCCTGTCCTCGTATGTTGCACCGTTCCTCCTCCTTCGGGTCTCGGCCTTTCACCCAATGGTCGTGCGTCCCGATATGCAAGAGGTTCTGCGATAATCGCAAGGTGACATCCTCCTGGTTCAACCACTTCTTGCCCAGAATCACAGGATCGGTCTGGTCTCGCACAACGTAGAAAAAAGCTCTTTTCTTCTGGTACCCGTCGATATCGAAGTCGAAGTAGGTCACGGCACAGATGGCCTCGGGTGAGAATGTGTTGACCTGCTCCAACGCTCGAGGTTTAATCGGAATACGCGGCAGGTGAAGCTTGCGGGCAAGGCGCTCACTGATGGTCCCATAACACAGGCAACCACAGTCAACGAAGGCCGTGGTGAAATACTCTCGATTGATACCGAAATTTACGTAGAGGCCTTCACAGTCCATCTCGTCCTTCTGAGTTGCCCATTCCGCCTCAGCCTTTGCGCGCTCCTGACGGCGATTTTCGTCAGGAGCTACTCGTTTTCCGAATGGTCATCGGAGGTATCCCCGCTAGAACTCTCCGCGGGCTCTTGGTGCTTTGCTCGAGCTTCTTGTCTTCTCTTCGACACGGACCTTGACTCTCTGCTGCCGCCGCTCCTTCCCGGGACACTTGGCCGCAAGATGGCCAAGCTTCCCGCACTCGTAACATTTGCGCTCCTCCAACGGAACAAATTGCTTTTCCTCCGGGGCCTCCTGCCGTTTATCAACCGATTTGCTTTCACGGGTTCCCAATCCATCTGATCATCGGACGGGGACGACGTGGTTGGCGATCCGGGTGACGGGGGCTTTTGTCGGGACTCGAGCGGTTCGGATAAACGACCATACTCCTTTCTTGACCTCTGCTCGCGGCCTTGTTGTCGTTGGTGGAAATTGAGGCTATCTAGGCGCGAGCCAATCGTCAAGAGTAGCTCGGCGTAGCTGTTGAAATCCTTCGGGAGACTGACGGCACTGACGAGACTCGACTTGAGCCTATTATTAATTGCTCCTTCCAAGTAATTGATTTGCACCACGTCGGCCCACTCGCCACCGCCACTATCGGCAAGCTCTTTCTCGAACTTTGGGAAGAAACTGGCGAAACTCTCATCAGGCTTCTGCTTCAACGATCGAAGTCGATCCAGTGCTCGTGCCTTTGCGTTCGGGTCCCCGTACCGACGGTTCAAGTAGTCGAGAAACAGATCTGGGGAGCGAGCACCATCGATACCGCCCTGTTCGTAATAAGCAGCGGCCATGTTCTGGGCTGTTCCGCCAACCGGGAGTACACATAGGCGAAGAGTGCTTCTTTATTGTCGAATGCCTGTCGGTCCACAGCCAATTTCGCTTTCATCTCTAAGAACCAGGGACGGAAGTTTTCCTGGTTCCATCGAATTTCGGCGGATCAGGCAAGGTTGGTTTTACCCTCTTTGATGGGATTCTTTCGGATGTCTCGATCGATTGAGGCGTGTTGTCGGACATCGGTTCGATAGGAGCGACTGGTTCATTTGCCGGAGTCGGAGTTGAGACGGCTGTTTGGAGGATTCGGATCTGCGATCGCATCTCTTCGCGTTCGGCCTCTTGGCTTGCACACACACTTTCTAGTTTGTCCATCACTGCAGCCAGGGCTTGCATCATCGATTGAGGCTCAAAAGAACCTTGCTGGGAATCGATTGCCTCCATGACTGAAGATTTTCTCCTCGTCTCTCAGGACTGAGGGCGACTTGATCACACAGCAAGTCTGATACGGAAGGGATATCTCGACAACGGTCGAACGCTATCAACGCCTCGAAGGCTCCTTCCTACACGGCTGGACGTTCTGCACAGGGCTTCTAGTCCAGCTGCTGCCGTCCACACTGGGAGCCAAGCAGCAATCACGTACTTCTCGCTCAACCGCACGCCGTACGGAGAGCAGATTGACGCTCCACGTCCTTTGCTCGGGAGATGAGAGCTACGCGACGCGAGCCAAGCTGGCTTTGGCGCCGTACACACACGCACTTTCGTCGCGGGCGTTCCACACAGGATTGCCCAAGCTACTGCCACTCCGCGTACCCACAAAGGGAACTGAACAGCGCTGCCAATTGATTGTGATCAAAGGCTTTAACGATGAAAGCGGAGCTTTAGGATAATGTAACGGTCTCAACTGAGTGTGTTGACAACTAGCTGAGCGACTGCGACGAGTATCCTAAAGCTAAGGAGAAAAGAAGAAGAAAAGAAAAGAAAGGAAAGCTCTCGAAGATGGCACGAGCTTATAAGCGGAGCTCCGGTGGGTCTTGTCGAGAGCGGAGCCGAGACCCTCACGGGCTCAGCCCGTTACAGTATATACAAGACGTCATCCAAGAAGTCGGGATGTGACTTTCGCTGTTACATCCGCTTCTACCGACGTTGCAATGCATTCAAAGTCACCATCAAGCACGGCTCTCATAACCACGAACCTCTATTTGAGCCAATTGCTAACCCCATCGTCCGTCAACGAAGCCAACGCAAATTCGGCATCGAGCGCAGGGACGGACATCTTACGAATCTATCGAATCGAACGCCAAGACTTGGCGTTCGAATCGAACAGGGCCTCTGCAGATTCGCATCGAATCGAACATGGCACCAGCCGATTCGCATCGAATCGAATGCGTGAAAATTGTTGCCCCTTCGATTCGACCTCGAATCGAACGTGGTCCCAGTAGATTCGCATCGAATCGAACGCGTGAAATTTCTTGCCCGTTTGATTCGACTCGAATCGAACGCGTGTTCCGTAGATTCGATACCTATCGAATGCCAAGGTTCGATCGAATTCGTATCGAATTCGATCGAACGTAGGACTTAGCAGAGAGTGGGGTACCAAACGTGCGTTGCACCGACATGTCTTTGTCACCATCACGAGGACTCCTACATCCCTCGACTCAAGTGCCAAGGGGTGCAAAGACATCATGGCTGCAGCAGATGAGACATCAAAAGCACGGTCAATTGCTGTCTTTACAAGCTGATTAAGTGTCACTCCGCCCCTTCAGCGACGCAAGAGCGTCAATCCACTGATCCTCGTTGAGGCTAAGCAGCGGCAGTGAAGGCGTGTAGATCCCAGCTTTACTCCACGATCGAATGCATTGAGCCATCGCTACGATCTCCCTTCACAGCCGGCTTCTCAATGGTGCCGTCATACGTCCTGCACTGCTAAACGTCCTCTCGCTTTCCGCGGACGTCGATGGAATCGTAAGCATGTCTACTGCCATCAGAGACAGTCGCGGATATCGGCTCCGGTTGATCTTCCACCAGTCGATCGGTCTGCTTCTGTAGTGGTGGCTGTTGACGAGTCTGATTGTGCGAATTGAGCGAGCGCGCCGACAGATGAAGGTAGAAGCCATCGAGGCTCCGCCGGCGCTCAACTCATGCCGCTATCGTGGCAGCGAAGCTCGGCGAAGCAGGCATAAACGCGTCCCACGCGCGTGTAGACGCGGGAAGGGGGAAAAAGAAAGAAGAGAAGACAACCCGTCGGGCCGCAATCTCCGTTGCATTGGCTAAAGTGGTCTGGACGAGTGAAAGGAGCTTCCGTCACCCATACAAAACGACGATGGACCGTGGCTGCCGCGAAGATGTCCCTGGCCTCCGGCGTTGATGCTTGACTGGCTTCCGAGGCGTCAGGCACGGCATCTCCGCCCGTGCTTGCAGCCAATCAAATAGGAGGCGCAATGAGCCCCCGGCAACCTTGTCTGGCATATCCCCTGTTCATCAGGGTTTCCAATGCCCCCATTGGCTTGTGTCGTAATGCACAGATCATCGTGGCGTGTGACGAGTCGTTTCATTTGGCTGTCCTTTCTCGTGCCATTCTCGTCTCATCTCTGAATCGGCCGTGAGCTCGTTTGAGGTCGACAGAGCTTTGAATGCAACTGAGGGGGTGTTCTGAAGTCGCTTGTACATCGGCTTAGAGGCTGGTTTGGTTTGGGCAGAAGTTACAGTGACAAAAGGCGATGAATATTTCCCAAAAAAAATTGGGAGGACCTGTAGGACACGGTTAAAGTTGTACAAATGAGATTCGAAGGTCAAAATATATTCTAGCTGTGGTACTGTAATTGAGGTGCTGGTATGCGGGAGAGATTCTCTAAATGGGCCGGTTTCTTGTTTCAGGCGTCGAAATAGAGAGAGGATGGGCAAACGGTATGGTAAACCCGATCGATGGAACCAGGTGCCTGGATAGACCTACCCTATACCCTGGTGAGAGAGTCGAAATTTTATCTTATCTCTGGCGCTATGGGATCAATCCCACCTAATGACTGAGATTTCGGTCCAACATATCGCACATATGCAACGTCGCCATGGAACTTATGGTGGCCCTGCACTCTAGAGCTTCGTTGTGATTTTATAGAAAGCCATCAATGGGTTTCCGCAGAGCATGTTTGCTGGAGTTGCAAGATACTAATTCTGTCACGTAGTTGTGGGGGGTTTAGCTGTACATACCAACATGTCTTAGCGCCTTAACCTGGTTTGGTCGATAAGAGGTCAAATCACGCTTGGTCGCGTCAGGCACCAACAGGAGCTGACTAACGCGTCTAAGAAGACGCGCGTAAAGGTTCTCCGCGGTGAATTTCGCGAATCGCGTCACTCATTCGATCGAATCGATCGAATTCGGTCGAACGCCTGGGGGCCGTTCGATTCGATGGGCACTAAAATGTACCCCAGTTCGATTCGTCTGTCGAACGAAAAACGCCACGTTCGATTCGATGCTGTCGAACGTCGAACGAGGCACCCCGCGTTCGATTCGATGCGAATCGAACGGGGCCGTGGCAGATTCGACATCGAATCGAACGCCAAGAAATTCGATTCGATATTCGTAAGACTTGGCATCGAATGAATCTATCGATTCGATTCCCGTTCGTAAGATGTCCATCCCTGATCGAGCGTCTTCATAGCCTCGTCGAGGGGCTTAGCAAGAACGTCAATAACAAGAGCAGGGATATCGTGGATGCTATCCGACAGGAATATCCTGAGCTCCTTATTACCGATTCTGATATACACTTCATCCAGCTGCAACTTCGTGCCTTCCGTTACGGCGCCTCTACATCTACACAAGCCTTCCTCAATGTACTCAAAGATGCTAAAGCAAAGGGGGAAATCAGCTACTATGCAGTTGACCGTGGCCCTAATGGGAAGGTTTGGAGGTTTTTCTGGACATACGATGACTGTATTGCTGACTGGAAGCGTAACCCCGAGCTCCTTATCATGGATAATACGTATAAGGTCAACCGCTTTAACATGCCGCTTCTACAGATCATTGGCACAACAGGGCTACACAAGAGCTTCAGTGTAGGCTTTGGCCTCACTGCCAAGGAAGACGAAGGCGCGTTCCAATGGATCCTCTCACAGTTGCGTGAGGCTGGTCGGCAGGCTGATATTCCGGACCCGGGCGTTGTGATTACCGACTTTGATACCGCCCTGAAGAACGCCCTTGACTCTATCTTCCCATCAACGCAACAACAAGTGTGCGTTTGGCATATGATGAAGAACGTGATCCTTCACATCAAGAAGAAGTGGAAGGATCCTCGATGGCACCGAGATTGGCGGAGATAGGCCAGAACAAGAGACTCGCTTCGCTGCAGCAGCCGCTCTCGACGACCCTATACAGGCAGATAATGCCATTGACGAGGACCGACCTATCGACCGTGCCACTGATTACCAGATTCAACATGCCTCACAACTGGCAGATCAGTGCGTTGAGCAACAAGATGATCGTGAAGATGACGATGGAAACTGGGGAGTGCAGAGATCAGTGGGATCTACTCTGTATAGAGTTTTCGGATCAGCCAGGTAACCCTAGCCCTAACTACCCTCCTACTCTAACCTTTTACTAAATAGCTCCTCTTATAGCTCTCGTTAATTACCTCCGTACAACCTACTGGCCATGGCGTGCCCAGTTTTCCACCTACGCTATCCAACAGTACCGAAATTATAACATTACGGTAACTTCCCGTGTGGAGAGCACACATCACGAGTTGAAGTCACGATTACGCAACCGCTTCATTGACCTCCATCAGCTACAAGAGCACATCAGAGGGCTCGTTACCCATCGGCAAAAGAAGCATCGCGAGAAGCTTCAATCCGAGTTTGCAAGAGCTAGAGTTGAATGGGCCAAGCAGACGATTATGAAGTCACTGCACCGAAAAATTGGCTGGCAGCCGATGAAACAGATCTTCAGGCAAGTTAGGCTAGCCGGGCTGAGCTTGCCGATAATCGAGGCATGCCTACGATTTGTACGGGTGCTTTCACGATGCAATGGGGGCTGCCCTGCCGGCATACAATCCGCGATTTGATCCAGGCTGACGCGGCCGCCCTTATACCATTGCATCTTATTGATAACCACTGGCGGGTTTACGGCGTGACTGTAAGTATCTTGCTCCAGCCATAAGTACTATACTAATTTACTAGCAGCCTGAACAACAGCAATATATCGATGCAGACCACGAAGCCGATCCTGACGTTGTCCAGCCTCGCCGGCGTGGAAACAGTAGACGCGAGGTATCCTCCACTAGAGGCATCTACGGGCCGGATCCTTAGTGCTTGGGAGCAAGAGGAGCATAGAGCCAACCCAGAGCTCGTATCACGGCCACCAGAGACGCAAAGAAGAAGAGGAAGGGCACAGGCACCACTATCATGAACAAGAGGTCGAATACACTTGCTTCCGTGAGCAGCCGGGTTGACGATCTTGCCCAGCAGATCGGTGATTTCATCAAGTCACAAGCAGCAGCAACGCCGGTGCTGTTATCACAGGTGCCCTCACTTCCACAGGTGCCGCTGGTGTCACAGGGATACCAAACGACGATGCCCTCACTTCCACAGCCGGCGCCGCCGTCACAGGGATACTATGTGATGCCACCGCCTACACCAATTGTGCCTGTATACGTACAGGCGCCGGCGCCGTCACAGTGGCAAGAACCGCCTCCTCGTCACAGGCACATCACGACGGCTTCATGTGGGCACAGCCGCCGGCACAGTCTCACGAGACGGCTACGGAGCATTTCCAGCAGCTAGGGGATCAGAGGGACACGGCACCATACAAATCTAGCAGGCAGGCCGGTCACAAATTCGTTCCTTACGTGCCTCGCCCTCCGCCGCGTCGGACTGATCCTTCCTCACCAGTGTTGCTAATAATATAAACAATACGTATATTGGCAATATGGACCCCTCGCAATATTATTGTATTGTCAAGAGGTGCGTATTGTATTGCGCAATATGGCATTGGTCCATATTGTATTGTATTGCCAGTGACCCAATATATTGCCAGTAAAACAATATATCCCGTATATCCCACGTGACCCTCATTATTCAACCGTCGTTGCTGAAATATCGTCACCCTGAAAATCCTGTATCCCAAACCATGACTTCAAGCACTCCAATGCCTGAATTACATCACTCCCAAGTCGATTTCGACGGTCTGTGATGGTTATTTTTGCCCCAGAGAAGAGTCTTTCGGGCTCAGCAGACATTGCGGGAATTGACAGTATATCCACCGCCATTTTGCTCAGGTATGGGTAGTTTTTTTGCTGTGTTTCCTCCAGCCACCATGCGAGGGCGCTTGTGAACCCATAAACCCGTTCAGACTTACAATATCGCTCGTACTCGTCTGTGATAAGTGCTGGTTGTAGGTGCTTGTTTCTCCAATTCAAGAACTCGTTCGTGGTCGTCAACGGAACCTCAGATAGAGAAGGCGGCTCCACAGGTTTATGCCTTGAGGAACGAAAGGACTTCATTAGCGCGCGGGGAAAAAAGGCCCCAGACTGCTTCACCCCCACATCCTCCGCCTCTGATTGGCTGATTTATTTCCTCTTTCGGAATAAAAGATCCCGTGTGATTGGTCGCCGACCCTTCCGTCCCTCCCTCATCATTGGTCGCTGCCGCCTTCTCTTGCCCCTCTCATGCCTTGCCCTGTTTCCCCCCCGTTTATACTCCTGTTTACCCCCTTGCCAATGCCAATGCCAATGCCAACCTTTTTCCTTTCGTCCGCCGGTTTTCTTATTGTGTCTAAAACTTGCGTCTTTTGTCTTTGCCCTTTTCGTTCATGCCTTTCTAGCGGGTTCTTCCTTCAAGTCTAAAAGTCGCCCCTCGTTGATCGCTGCTGCCCAGTGCCCTTGTCTTCTTGCCCGCCGGCGCGCTCCTCCGTCTTCTCCCCCTCGTCACCTCACCCTGACAACTCTCCTTGACTCTTCAGCGTCGCCATCCGACCGACGCAAAGCTTCCTCGACAGTCCTCTCGCTTAGCACCTCCAGCCTGGCCTGCGCGGCGGTCATCTCTTCGGGACTCGGCTCCCCACCAAGTCTCTCCCGCACCTTGGACACGAGCGTGATGCCGTCTAGCGTTCGACAGCGCGATAGCTGCACATATAAGCTGTACGGGTCGCATTGCGAGGGCACGGCCCTTCCATCGACTTTCGTCGTCCGTGTCCCCCGCAGCTCCAGGGCCACGCGCTCTAGCGTTCTGCCCTGCACCTTGTAGTCCGTGCAGGCGAAGGCTGCTGCGCACGGCAATCCCTTCCGGCTGACGTCGTTCTGCTGCCACGGCCGCTTTCGTTGGCAGTGTATCCTGACGCTCATCGGCGTTAACAAGATCGTGCCCGGCGGCATCCCGACGAAGTGGAGGTCCTTTGTCGTCGCCGATTCCAGTAATATCCCCGCCGGCGGCCCGAAGTGGATCGTCATGTCGGACGAGATTCGATGCCCTGGGGACGCCTTGTCGACAATGACCTCCACCGCCGAGTAGCCGGCGCCGTTCACCAGCTTCAGCCCCTGATGGGTGTTGTGGTTCACGACGACCGGCATCCCGGCCACGAACATGAAGACGGCCGGCACGGGGATCGCGCTATCGTCGCCTTGATTGAGTATCATGATCGCTTCTTCCTCGGTCGGCAGGCCCTCCTTCCACTTGTGCTCGGAGATGAAGATGCGCATCGTCGACCGCTGCTGGACCCGGAACGCCAAGCTTGCCTCCATGTTTAGGTTCCACCGATTCCTGTTCAGCGGCGTCACCACGGTGATGCCAGTCTCCCAAGGGATCCGCCTGCCCTCGCGGTAGCACCTTGAGTTGAGGAGGTCCAGATCCGTGCGGTCCTGCACACCCTGCCGGATCCGCTTCAGCAGCCCCAATTCCGGATCCCCGGCGGCGCGCATTTGCTCGTTCAACATGACGACCGTCGTGAATCTCTTCCACAGCGCGTGCGCTTTGTCGTGCTGGTGCCGCTGCTCGGCCTTGAACGAGTTGTCTACGTCCCACGAGATGGCCGCGCTCGGCAGGACGATCGACCTCTCTTGGACCGGCCGGAACTGCTGAAAGTCTCCGCAGAAGAGGACGATGGGGATCCCCGAAATCTTTCTGCGATCCGCGAAGCCGACAGAGTCGCTCGTTTATGGCGTGCAGCGTCCGCGCTCCGAGCATGCTCACCTCGTCGATGACAAGCACGTCCTTCTCCTGCCAGTCCATCCGAGACTGGCCGTGGATGAACCGCTCCGCCCGTTTTGTCAGCCGCACCCCGTCAAGGTCCTTGGCTGTGTTCGCGCCGCCCGCCCCTTGGTCTTTAGTGAACCCGCAGGCGGAGTGGATCGTGATGCCGTTGATCTGCGCCGCCGCAGTCCTGACGTCGCCGTGATCAGCAGACGATTCGAAAGGCTCTTCCCACTGAACAGCTCGACGAGTGCCCCAATGATCCGCGACTTGCCGGTGCCCCCTCGCCGCCGACGAGCTGGCAGAGCTGGCCGGCATCGCCCTATTCGTTTGTCGCATCAAATCGAGCTGGCGGCATATTATTAGGAAAGCGATCGACTGCCTCTTGTTCAGCGTTAGCCGTGTTGACAACTCCTTGCCCGCCGCGAAGAAGGAGGTCGATGGGCCAAACTGGACGCGCATTCCCGCTTCTGCGTCGCTAGCCGTCTCGTCGGAGTCGGCTGTCGTCATTTCGACGTCGTCCTCCCCGAAGCCGGTCATCACCCTCCGCAACGCAGCTCGGCGATCGCTTTCCCGGACTGCGACTGTGGTTTGTACGCCTTGGATCATTCTCTCCCTTTCCTCGACGCACTTATCTGCTGCGACTTGATAGCCTTGACCTGATCCTGCGGCGGTAGTGCGGCCCCGGAAAATACCCGCCCTGGCATGCTTATGCACCTCAACCCTTGTTCGGGAATCGCGATGGCCTCGAGCTCGGCCGTTGAGCAGAGCGCCGATTGCTGGAATCGACAGAGCTGCCGCATCATTGCCATGAGCTCCGGCGACTTGGCCGTCACCTGATTCGTGCCCACTGCGCCTCGGACGACGTCGATCAGGCGCGTTGCGTCTCCGATGTTGTTGGACCGATACGTCGCTGCAAATTCTGCGCCCGCCTCGCCTGTCTCGCCCTCCTCGACGTGGGCGACCGTGGAATCGCCATCGCCGGATGAGGCCGCCCATTGCTTGGCGTCGCGCTTTGCGTCTTCGGCTGATCGTCGAAGCAGCTGCACGTTGTCGACGAGACATGATATTCTCGGGGCCAGCGTCTCGCGCCCGCTCCCAGATGCTATTGATCTCACCTGTTTCTTCGCACAGAAAGGACTCCCACGGCACAAATAGCGCAAGATGCTGCACGGCTGCCCTTTAAGGGGGAGGGGGGGGAGGTTAGCCACTCTGATGATGCCTGCCGGCAGGGCGGTTGCTATACACACCTCCGGTGGCACGACTCCTCGTCGTCGTTGTGGCCGAAGTCCTTGCTCAGGTAGCCATCGAGGCAGACGGTAGCATGCTTGCCCGGCCGCCTGAGCACCTGGACCCAGCGTCTCCCTGGCGCCCATCCATCCTCGAAGGGCACCTCCCCCCAGGCCGCACAGCTCTCATCCTTACTGGTGCGTTTTAGTCTAACGAGCGATATGTAGTCGTATAAGCATAGCCCTCGCAGGAGCTCTCCCCGGTGCTGGTACGCCTCAACGTGGGAGATCCTCAGGCCTGCTTCTTCGACAACGACCGACTCATCCAGAGTATCATCTATGGCCGCCGCGCCACTTGCTCGTCGGAGATACGGCCACCGTCGAAAGACTTCCCAGTACAGCAGAGATGTGTTCAGGTACGCCCAGGCGCTGCTGTTGGTGAACTCGGCCGGATATCCAAGAAGATGAGCGACGACCTCGACCTGAGATAGCGGACGCTCCGTGAACACACGATTCGCCACCCTCATCAAGAACTGTCGCGTCCTGTTCCCTTGGCGGCGTCATCGCCAACAGCACCTCCACCGTCGTCCTGTCCTCCGTTGGCCGTGCCGTCACCCGTTGAGGCGGCCAGGAGATCGGCCGCGGCCGCCACACGCTTCCACACCGGGTCCTCCACCTTCGTCGCGTAGTTCGTGACATAATACATAAGGGCCATGGTCTTGCGCTGCGTCGCAATGAAGGAAATGTCGTGGTTGTGCCGGAGCCCAACAGCGATAGCCTTGTTCCATCGATTGACCATGCTGTGAGTCCTCCGGATCTGCAACACCCCGTCTGCCGTGATGGCGGTCTTGTCGACCAACCTCCATGGAGACTTAAACCGGCATGGATTCCCTTTCCGCGCTCCTTTGCCCAAGGAATACTTGACACAGGTCGGGCTATGCGTGTGAACCTGTGTAGCGCCGGCACAGAAGTTGGCCTCCTCGTCAAATGCGGCCGAAAACTGCTCGGTGTTGTCCAGCAGGGAGGAAATATCGGACGTCACAGATCGCTCCGCTTGCACGGCGCAGAACCCTTCCTGATCCAGATCCTATCTTGCACGTCAGCCTGGCCCCGTTTGTCCATCGGACGAGCAATTCAGGTTCTCAGTGACACGTCTTAGCTATTCTTACCTCGGAGAAGACACTATCGACGTATCGTATGATTCGCTCGCGATACGCCGCCTGATCCTCCCCGTGGATGTCGGCAAGCATCGAGCTGAGATGCGCGTTTCCGTGCAACCAGAGCAAGCCGTGAACATGAAGCGCCCCTCGTTCGTTGGTCTCCACAGCGCCATAGTACTTGCCGATGCGCCCGAATACCGACTCTTCTCCGACCTTCACGTAATGATCGAAGAACAGCTTCATCTCCCGGTGGAAGAATACGGCGGCGCTCATCGGATCGGACATGGCCAGCCTTGTCCGCTTGTACGCACTCCCAAGGCCTTCTAGGAACTCCTCGGCCGCGCCGGGATCGCGTGTCCGATATGCCGCCAGTCGCAGCTTCACCGGGTTCGTAATGTCGTTTGGGTTGATGGTGAACCAGATGGCCGGAACGCCGTAGCCAACGATGAGCGACTGGATTTTCCGCCGCATATTGAGCCGAACCTCTCTCGACATGGGTTGCCGGTGGCCGTACAGCGAGAGGCTCCTGAGAAGCTCCTTCACGCCCTCATCGGTCGTCTTGCCCGAGCTCTCCAACTCGACCCTCGCCGCCGCTAACCTTTGCGCGGTCATCGAGCGGGCAACGCGCTCGACCTTGCCGAAGTCCTTCCTCGCCACACTCAGCATGCTGACGCGGCGGTTCCTCGACCGCACCCCCATGTTGAAGACGAGAAATGCAAATATGTGGTGCAACGCAAACCGGCCACCATGGCGCCGGAGCACGATGTCGGCCCAAATCCGGAGGTTCAAGCTTCGGGAGGATACGATGTCTCCCGCTGCCGCCCCTGCCTCAGCAGCTCTACCGGTGCCTCGCAAGTTGGTAGGGCCTTCCCGCCTCGGCTATGGCCTCTTCGGCCAGCCTTGGTCCCCAACGCCAAATGGGAACAGGGTCGGGAACGTTCTGGCGAAGAAGGACGTCTCAAAGGAGTCGGCAAACTCATCCCCGCGAGACTCGAATGTATGGCTCACTGCCATCGTCGCCACGCCCTCGACCCCACCGAGGATCCGACCCACGTTCTCGGGCCCGCGCGGCCGTCGTCGGCACCTGCGCCAACAGCGTCACAGGCAAACCGCAGCTTCTCGACATCCGCCACGTCTGGCGGTCCGTCCAGCCCAAACATGCCGGAAGACGTCACCTCGTTGATTGGTCGAACGTTCTGATCGGGGCTAGCACCAACTCCATCACGACCCGCGCCTTCTTCGTTGGGCCCGTGCCCTTCAGCCTCGCCTCCCGTTTCCTGCCTTTGGTTGAGCAGAGCGAAGAGTTCCTCGATCTCCACCGACCCCTCGTCGTCCATGGCGCGCTCCGTGGGCGGCACAACGTGCGCCGTCCGCGTTTTCTCCCATGCGGACGGCTCGTTCCGCTCCATGCGATCATACACCAAGGCCGGCACCCCGTCTATCGGGTCTCCCCAACTCTCCATCTCCGCCACGTCGATCTCGATCTCGGCGTAGTGGGGGGTTGCTCCTCTTCAGCCAAACAAGAGCCCTCTCGACGACCCGCCGCCTCACCGACAAGAGACTCGACAGGTCGCTCGGTGCCGGCTTCTCCACGCCCTGCCACGAAACGTGGATCTCGTCCAGTGCTTGCAAAAGAGGGGGTGCGGGAGCACCTTGGTCGCCAGCTCCTGCACGTTGTTGGGAAACACTGTGATGTGGCCCTTGACGTGCCTCGGATACCTCACGGCCTGCCTCTGCCCGCCCGGAATGCTATATCTCGTGACAAACCCATAGCAGGAGTTGAGCGAGACGAGCTTCTCTTCGACCAGCGTGAGTCCCTTGAGCTCGTCAGGGAACATGTGCTCACAGCCAAGGCGAGTGTGAAGATGGACCGCCGGCGACAGACTCCCGCGCGCCAGGCATCGGGCACACTCCGCACACACCGACACGGGCTCGCCTTCGGAAAGCAGCTCCGGCATGAAAATGGTGAGCGGCCGCCCTCTGGCACGCAGCTTGACAGCCATTGATCCCATCTGATCTCCCTCAGCTCTTTTCTCGTACGCTTGCGGTAGCACATCATGCAGGTCCGTATCGGCAACGTGCTCGCATCGTGGAACGCCTGATAAAAATCCCGCACCGTCGACACCTTCCTGTCGTGCGGTATTGGCGTACACCACGTCTGATCGTTAGACAGCCTCTCCTTCATGGCGAAGTCTTCCTCCAAAAAACGCAGCACACTCGCCAGGTCTTCGGCCCGCAGCTCCCGACTCCTCTGCCTTCCGATTCCACTCCGAATCTGTTTTCTCGGGCGCTCGTCCGGACCAGGAAGACGTTTTCTCTTCTCCCGCCTCCGGGGCCGCCTCCGGGGCCGCCTCCGATCCATGATTTCTTCTCTCCGTGGCTGATTCGCTTCTTCGCAAGCCGTCGGATGCGGCAGCTTTGGCGACGACTGCCCGACTACGTGCGCATCCCTGACACGCCATCCGGCCCTTTGCACTGGACAGGCACCGGGCCGTGCTGGCGAACGTTTTCCACGCCGAACCTTGACCTCAGTCCTTGCCCTTTCCAGCACTCTCCTCGTTCTTGCTGCCGATCAAACTGCACGGGCTCCCCAGCCGCCACCCGCGATGAGCCGCCCACCTCCCTTTGCTGCAGCCTCCGCCCGCTCAGCGAAGCGTCCGCTGGCTCTGCCGCGGCGTCGCCCACCCCCACAGGAGACGGCCCCGGATGCTGCGCCGTACCTGCTGCGTTGGAGACACCCCTGCGGCCTGGTACTCCTTTACCCGCCAACTCCGTCCCCGACGGCGCTTGGGCAAACCAGACGCAATCGCTGCTGCTAATTGCCCGTTTTCTCTTAAGTTGTCGAATACCGGTTCCCTAGGCTGGATGGATCGAAGCTTCGGTACCTCCTTCGAATGAACACTCGGGACATCGCCCGCCGCCGCCGTAACACGTTGCTCCTCATCTTCAGGATCTCCCTCCTGAGGCAGAAAGTGCCGATGAGGGAGCGGACGATCAGAGTCCGCTACCCCCATATCTCCACGTTCCCTAGGCAACAGGGCCTCGGAAGCTGACCCGGTGACTGATGTTGCGCGGAACTTCCGCTGCTAACCATATTATGGAACTTCCGTGCTCTGTTTGACCGCAAACCGCCTCGCGGCGGTCTTCTCGGCAACGACCTCGCAATTGCTTCTGCGTGCTGTCTCCATGCGGTGTCTTCAACCACAGGTTTCTAGGCTGAATCGGCCGGAACGTTGATGCCGCATTCGCCCGTGATTCGTATCTTCGTAACCGTCCCAGGCTCTCCCCCCGTGCTCTGCGGCCCCTCTCAGAAGCTGCCACCACATCTACACCGGCTCCTGTCGCACCATCTCCGAGCCCCGAACCCGACCCGCTCACGTTCTCACCCTCTTCTCCATCCCCGACTGACAACGAACAGGCTTCAGGGTGAGCAACCGCCTCGCTTAACTTCACTGCAGGACTGTCCGCCATGCTGCTGCCTCCTCGACGTCGACTGCCGTAAATTGGCAACAGGCTATAAAGCTTTGGCTCCGGAGCACCTCCACTTGGACAGTCTCGCTTGTTGACGACGCTACTTCTCCCGAATGGGAAGCTCCCTAACCATCACTTCCCTCATGGCCGTGGCGTTTCTTCCCTTATAGCTTCCCTATAAAATGCTTCCCTATGGTACCGAGGCGATGCAATACTACCCCTCTATATTCCCCCGTTACCATGCCTATCTATGTGCGTCCACCGTCCCGGCCTCGCCTGGTCTCCACGTGCGACCTGCTACCCCGGCTTTGCCAAAAGCGACCCTTCCATCGCCGTGCTCTCTTTTGCGCACTCCAGCGAATCCCCACTGCCGACCTCCGGCACATGGAGATGGCCGCGACAACCGCCTGCCGCACACTTCAAACCATACTCTTCAGCCCTTCCAACACCATCCTACCAACCTTGCGCATCAGTTCACCATCAATACCCGCCAATCCGCCTCGTCGAGCAACAGCCACAAGGCTGCCGGCGATAACATGTCCATGACGTCCCTCATGCAGCCGGACTACCCTTCTAGATTTGCTCCCTCGCCAGCACCAATGTCGCATCAACGGCCTTAATGCTAAAGCGATAGCCAGGACCCCCCTGCCTGTCCTCTTGTAGTCGCTAGCCACCGGAGTCTCGACTTGCAAACCCTCTTGGAAAGTTCTCGTGACCAACTCGCATCCTCCTCCTCAGGTCGACCCATATATCCGACTTCACCGTGTCCCAATAGTAGACTCGACACGGTCGGCACCCGCCTCGCTCAGCCGCACGCAATGCCCATCCAACTACCGACGACCGTCAAAAGGTCCTGCAATACTACCATAACCTCTTTCTTTCCTTCACTCTCATTCGTTATTGCCCCCTTTGCTATCTACTCCATGCAACGATGACACTGAAGGGTACTACTGGACTTTCTTTCTCCGCAGTCTTACCCACTAACCTTACCGTTCGCCGACCTCCAACTTCTCGCAACATAGCCATCACCCCTACTCAACTTCCAACCCCGGCTCCTACTTCACTCACGACCACAGAACCAGATGGTCGAGACTGCTCGAGAACCTCGCCAGCTCATTCCCGCATACCCCCGCTTCTGATCTATCACCTAGGTAGCATTCATTGACTCTCAAGTCTCCCCGACCCGAGCCGCGAGCCCTCTTTCGAGCAGCAAGAAAACCTGCTTTATAGGATGCCTACCTCTACTCTGCCTAACCCCTCCTTTACACTTCCACGGTGACTACATCTGCCATGTTCTCACGATGTCGGCCTCCCAGCTCGACGTCGATACCTCGTCCTCCCCGCGGCAACCTCTTGACAGCCAGAAAAATGCTGGCGCCGACATGTCCATGATGGCCTTTGTCCAGCCCGGCTGCCCGTCTAGGTTCGCCTACCAGAATGAGCATCGTGTCAAAGGGCTCAACGCAGAAACCCTAGCGAGGGTCTTCCTTCCAACGCCCTCATGGCTGTCGACTCCAGAGTATGCAGCAATCCGGTCAGATCCTGACAATCCATCGACCTGCATCTTCTTGAGCCTTAATATTTCCATATACAACCAACAGATAATCCCCTCGGAATGGACCGAGCAGTGGTTCTTTATGGTCGGCCGTGTTCATCCCTTTGCCCTGACGTGGGAAATCGAGCGACGTGATAGCTTCGAGTCGGAGGATGACAACATTACAGAATACACCATCCCGGCTCTCATCGTCCGCGACCACAGCTACCAGCCGTAGGTGTATGCTCCAGGCCTCCGTCACCACTACCATCTCTGACGATGGCCACAGAGTCATCCCTCGCACCCTCGGCTCGGCGGATGCCTTCCCAGCGATACAACCCATTGTCTCCTTCACGGGACCTGTCATCGGTTCCGGCCGCGACCTTCTGCATGGAAACTCGGCTGCGGCCCTTGACGACACCCAGCTGAGCTGTTGCGGCTTTGTCCAGCTCTCGACCTTTATCTGTCCTGGGATTCCGGGCAAAACACCCTTCAAGGGCTTTCATCCCTTTCAACTTTTCGTCATCTTCCCCATTCACGCCAATCCTTGGACCTCCCTATGCAAGAAGATGACCGAGAGGCACGATAGCCAGTTCCAGCCGAACGCTCTCCTCACCTGCACGGGCAAAATCGCCGGCTTACTCGATCACCAGATCATGACACATGCCCCGGCCTTCGAGCAAGACTATATCTTCATCGTCGTCCCCGATACATGGACTTTCCTTGACAGGGCCATGTCCAACCAGGCTTCTGCGACACAGCTACTGCCGACGACACCCAAGGGCTCAGTCGGCAACCCTCGGACTATAGCGATGCGTTGGCCAGGTTTACCTCTACCAAAAACGCAAGGCCGCCCCAAGCGGCGCCTCCCACGCCGCCTGCATCTAGGTCAGTCGATCCTTATGATGACATCAAAGCGGTCATTGCCCGATCCCGACCAAACCCCAACCATGAGACCGCGACTTTCTCCAGAAATTTCCACCATAGTCGAGGCCTGTGATAGTCGAGGCCCCGCCAAATCCGACACTTCCTCCCTTCTGTCCCACGAAGACCCGGAGACTCAGAGACGGACACCGAGCCAGTCAATCACCCAGCCACATCCGCCTCTGGCCCTATCAGACCTCCGGCGTCAATCTCTTCCCGACCGCACCGCGCCCGACATCCGCCCAAGAATATTCTGTAAAGCAACGAACGAAACAACACAACATGACAAGGAACATGTTTCATCATCCTCAAACTCAAGTGCGACAGGCCCTAATGGGATATTTCATTCTCCTCTTGCTCTCCTTTTCACAAAGACAATCCAGTCAAAACTTCTCCAATATACTCCTTATTCTGTTTATATCCACCACTTATAGCACCTGTAAATCCTCAGAGCCTTCCACTCGCCCACACATGCATTACCCACCCACAACTCTCTTCACCCCTGCCGCCTCTCACGCCCTTTGCGCCTTTGCAAAGCAAAATCTCCTTGCAGCGGCCTAGGCTGCCTCTCTGACGCTCTGTCTCGATTTCACTCACGATAATGCTCTACGTCTCTCGCCGGATCTCCATCTCATATCTCTTATCTCACTCTTCTTCCTGTCTTCCTCTCACTTCCCCTGTCTCCTATCTCCTGTCACCAACTCTCTCCTCTCGCCGACTTTCTCCTGTCGCCATCGCCAACTTTCGTTCCGAAAGGCCTCTTTGCGCGAGCCGCGGCTGGCGAGCCTTCCCCTCGTTCAGCCCGAAGGGCGTTTATTCAGTCAGAAAGAGAGGCATAAAACCTCTTCTCATTGGCTAATTGGCCTCCCCTGTACTCAACTCGTGCGGGGAGTGGTCGGTTGGCAACGCCACCAAATGAAGGCCATGCCGCAAACCCTGAGCGTTGACTAGGTAACGAGCTAGCCGTTTCCGAGCTTTTCTTCAATGCAAGTTTCCAAGCACACGCTTCCACTTCCATCGTGGGTCGAATCTATCGAACCCATCGGTTACTAACGGATTCTAGGTCAAATTTAGCTCCGCGGCCGACCTAGCTACAACATTCCCTGGCACCACCTGCGGGTGTGTATTGCTGCAGCCACGCAAGTCCTCGCAAAGCCTCCCTGCCCGAGCAATATCTAGCAGTCTCGGTGGGAAAGAGGTGGATATATACGGTCAGATGGAGAACAATATGCCCGAGGCAGTCCGCAACTGTCGTACCTGCAAGCAAGATCTGCCCGAAGTCGAATTTCGAAGCGTCAAGGACCCTACGAAGTTTACAGGACAGTGTGCTAGCTGTAGGGCACACCGAAAGAACGGGCAACCGAATCGCGAGCCGCCGTTACCGCGATGCGGAATATCGCCTCGAGACCATCGCTACGCAGAGCCACGAAGAGGACGGATTCGCTAGCTAACCTGACGCCTCCAAGGCGGACTGCGCCAACGCCTGCGTCTGTGACTGACCTACGACCTCCTGCCATGCCTGTTTTATTCCGTGGCCTGGCGCCTGCACCGGAACTGCCTATACCTCCGCTGGGGCCATCTACTCTAAGCCCTGTTGAGGACCTTCCCTTTCCTCCTACCCTTGGCCTGCCAACAGTAGTTCTGGGCACGCCGATTCAAGACACTGCTTCTACAGCTCCTGTTGTGCAAGGCACTCCTATACCACAGGAATCGCTTCCTACCACTCCTTCATTATTGTCACAGGGTCATCACCGCGGCCGTTATACTCGTCAAGGCACACAGCCTCAAGCGCGGCTGTTTGATCAGAGTAGTGATCCGCCTTTACAGGTGACCTTGACTTGCCCGCCCTTAGTAAGGAAGATCAGGCGCTTGTGCGAGAGTTCTATACTGCCCTGAATGACGACAAGATGCATAGTTGCATTCGCTGCCAGGAGCGTTGGTTCGATATGAAACGAAATAGCTTGAAAATCTGCAGCCGCTGCATTGGTCGAGACAGGAAGAAAGCCCTCGACGAGCCCTACTTCTTCAGCGCTGCGAATAACCTCGACTTTGGGGAAGTCCCCGGCAATCTACCCGATCTAACGATGGTTGAGGAGATGCTTATTGCTAGGATTCACGTACACGTCAAGGTCCTACAAGTGCGTGGCGCTCAATACAAATATCGCGGCCACGTTATCCACTTTCTTCGCAACATTGGTAGGCTATTTGAAGAGCTCCCAGTGCTACCGAAGGAGCTAGATATCGTGCTCCTACGGCCTCCTAATATGGAAGGCGACCCTCGCTTCCAGCAACAGTTTGCTCGCGATTTCCGGGTACGCCGTTCATGCCTGTTGACCTGGCTGTATTACCTACAGCGCCACCACCCGGGCTATCGCGATATCGTCGTGAGCCAGGATCGCCTGCAACGGCTTCCTCTTGACGGCAGCATAGTTGCTTCCATTGCTAGCCAAGTGGCTGACATACCTGACGGCGAGATCCCACAAGGCCCTGTTGAGGAGGCCTTGAAGAGGATCCTGCGATGCGGACGCATCAGCGATCCCGAACTTGCAGGTTACCGATACCGAATTAAACGCCCTGCAGTCCCGAGTCCTTGATGTTGCCCTGACTCTGAGCGTATGGCTAATGTTGAGTATATGTCGCATAGCGCGCAGGCTCACCACCAGATGCCATTGCCATCCATTCGCAGGACCCTATCGACGAATTCAACCGTTCCCAGCCGCTGTTATCGCTTGCGTTCCCTACCCTCTACCCTGACGGCAAGGCCGACTTCGTGGAGCCTCGCCTACGGAGCATCACGTACCAGGACTACCTTGGCCATGCGATGAGATGGCATGACGGACGTTTTGCCCGCCATAAAACGTGGCCTTTCGTCGCCCTCAACACGCTGCTACGTGCGCAGGTCCGAAAGCGAAGTGACTACTTCGTCAAGCAACGCGACAGCCGCCGTCAACCCCTTACACGCGCTGACCTAGAGGAAGCGATGGCTGAGCCTGATGAGCCAGAGGCTCAGGACCTGATCCAGTCGATCACGCGCCAAGCCGCGGTAATCAGGGGCACCCGGCCGTATTGGTATAAGCAAAGGAAGGAATTGGAAGCATATGCCTACAATCTGGGCAGACCTGGCCTTTTCGTTACTGCAAGTGCGGCCGATTACCACTGGGAATCACTATATCGTCACATGCCTCGATTCCAAGAGTGGAAAGCAGCTCCTGAGGCGGCGCGCATGGTCCTGTCCGGCAACTACTGCGAGACAACGCCCACATCGCCGCCTACCACTTCTACAAGCGTTATACGCTTCTTACGACTATTGTCCTGAAGCAGAAGTTCAACCTAACGGACCTTTGGGGCCGCTATGAGTGGCAGGGCAGGGGGTCCAGTCACCACCATGGCCTATATTGGTTAAGTGGCCACCCAGACTTGGATCCTGACGATAATCGATCCGGGAGCGATTTGCCCGTATCTGGGGATATCACGTATCTGCCGTTAACCCAGAGCCTCATCGAATACAGGCTCCTGGGAAGGGAATCCCTGATCAGCAATCTATTGGAGCAGCCCTTACCGTTCAGTTCCTATCGATGGTAGTCAACCGCGTGCAACGCCACCGCTGCAACAACTACTGTATGCAGCGCAATAAGCATACCAAGCAGGTAGAGTGCCGATTTGGATTTCCTCACGGACAGCGCCTACTAGCCTCCCTTGACAAGTTGCCTCACTCCAAGCACTGGACCTTTAGGGGTGGGAGGAACGATGGCCAGATTAACCACTACAACCGCTTGCTTACCGTTGCATGGCTAGCCAATACAGATGTCTCTCCTGCACGAGCCTCCAGCAGGTGGTCGAATACGCAGCCAAATACTGCTCCAAGTCAGAAAAGAAGAGCGAGTCTTTTGCCCAGATTGGGAAGGCGCTGATGCCCCGGGTCAGGACCACAACCCCTGATTTCTTTCACGTCAAAGCTCCTGAATCAGCTAGTTGCTGAACGGGATTACTCGAAGCAGGAGGTTAGCCACTTACTCCTCGGCCTGCCGTTACAGGAGGGCTCACGAATCTGCCTATACGTTGACTGCCGTCATCCTGACAGACATTCCGCTCCTTACGCATTGACGGCGATGAGGTTGACGAGGCCTCCAACGTCTACGAAAAGTACGGTCAGCGCCCGGAAGCCCTGAAGGACCTGACCTACGTTTCCTTCCTCAAACACTGGAATTTCCGCTCTAGAGACCCTTCCGCATGGAAGCAATGGCGGCCAGGCAACGTTAACGGCAGGCCCGTGTGTTGGTTTACTTTCCTCGCTATCAGGCTGCTCCAGAAGGCCAGCAGTGGCCAGATTATTGCCGTGTAAAGCTGACATTAAATCACCCACATCGCCGGCTTGATGAGCTCCTCACTTTCGACGGCCAGGCTTTTAGTTCCCACGTTCAGGCCTTCTCCTATTGTTGGCAGCATCACAATCATGGTGATGACCATTACGGCCAGCCAAAAGAGGCTCGATTACAGCCTCAAGATGATCAATATGAGGCTCTGCCTGTGGGGGAAGAATTTGATGACGAAGACTGGATTCGCCTCGCTGCCCTTTTACCTGACCACCCCCTTACCCAGGAAGTTCTTGACCTTCTTGGCCGCCGCGATATCGACGTCAATTACGACTGGACACGGCATGTGGGTACATATCCGGAACTTCGAGATGGCTACTGGAAGGACCTTATCGCTAGCCACCCCATGGCCAACGATGTGGAGGTCCTTGGCCTCAATGGCGTAATACGCTGAATCCACAACAACGGCTCGTGTACGACACATTCATGGGCCACTTCCAGGCGCGAAATCCCACTCAAATCCTTCTCCACGTTGATGGTGGTGGTGGCACCGGCAAGTCGTTCCTTATCAAGGTGCTTTCCTCCCATCTTCAGGCGGCCGCTCTGCCGAATCCTAGCCCTATTTGCCGCGTAGCTCAACAGGCGTTGCGAGTAACCAGATACAGGGCAGCACCATTCATTCATTGCTACGCCTCCCAGTAGGTGGTGCTTTTACCGACCTTCCCCCAGCCGACGCAGCCGCCCTTCAGTCCCGCCTACGGCACGTCAAATACCTCGTGATCGATGAAAAGAGCATGCTGGGGATTGAGCAGCTCGCGCGGATCGATTCCCGTCTGCGACAGGCCTTTCCACAGCGTAGCCTCGAGTTCTTTGGTGGTGTGAGCGTCTTGCTTGTGGGCGATTTCTTCCAGTTACCACCAGTCCGGCAAAAGCCCCTGTATTCGACTAGCACCAGCCTGTCTTCGTTGGAAAGGAGAGGGCAGGTGGCCTACCGGTTATTTGACCGCACCGTCTTCCTGACCACGGTACAGCGCCAGGCTGGTGATGATCAGGCTCAGTTCCGTCGGGCGTTGCAGGAACTGCGTGAAGTCAAGTTATCCATACCGTCCTGGAACCTCCTTAGCAGTCGGGTACAGTCCAGGCTAACGCAGAGCGAGGTTGACAGCTTCAGGGCCGCTTTGCGGGTGTATTCTACCAGGGCCCGGGTCAACGAATACAATTACGAGCATATGGTGCATCTCAACGCCCCGGCAATACAGGTGGAGGCAAAGAATCAGGGCAAGGGCGCGGGGCGGGCACCAAGCGACAATGCTGGCAATCTATCTAACAAGTTCCCTGTTGCTAAGGGCGCCAGGGTAATGCTCACTACTAACCTATGGCAGCCAGCTGGCCTAGTTAACGGTGCCCAGGGTACTGTATACGATATCGCCTGGAACCCAGGCGCCGAACCATGGAAGATCCCCGGCCGTTATTATGGTGGACTTTGATAGCTACGATGGACCGCCATATCTAATAACTAACGAGGGCAGGAAAATCTCACCCATCCTCCCAGTCAGGCGTGATTTCCTTATGGGCAACGAGACCTGCGCTCGCACGCAGTTTCCCCTGATGGTGGCGTTTGCTATCACTGTTCACAAATGCCAGAGCCTAACGAAGGAGCAAATAGTTACTGATCTCGCTACGCGACTTCCAGGCCGGTATTAGCTATGTTGCTGTGTCACGGGTTACGTCGCTGCAAGGCTTACTCCTTGAGGCGCCTTTCGATCGTCAGAGCCTCTATAACCACACGCCGACAGAAGGTTTATAAGCCTGTCTCCCTACGTGCTGCGTTTACGGCTAACTACAAAGGCTAAAGCAGGGATGAAGATGCGCCTCGCTGACCAACAACGGCGTCAGGGTCAACAGCTGAGCGATGCACCGTATCCACCACTCTACCTTGACTAAACGACGTCTCCTATAAGCTACAGGGAAGGGGGAGGTTCGATATAGGGTATATAGTTAGATTGGGCCAGTAAAGGAGCGGTTTAAACAGCTGGATGGCCGCCGCAGGCAAGGGGGTTCTAGGGGTCCCCTAGGAAAGTTGAATTGCAGGAATACGATGTTCACCCTTCGGGCTGGATATTCAGCCGTTAAGCCCCTTGCCTTGGCAACTTAACGGGTGTTCGAAGTATTTTAATCATCCCACAGTGTCTCCATCAGCTTCTTTGACGAGTCAGCCCACTCCTTCTTCCAGTTTTCGTGTATGTAGTGCCATTTATGCGAAGGGTGAAGCACAATCGCAGCGACGTAGGCAGGCGATTCGTCAGTAAGACAATAGTACTTATCCATCTTCGCCCAGCCCGAGTTATACATTGGTGCCATAATCGGATCGTCGATATGTGCCTCTTTTCCTGCTTCGAATTGCGCCAATACGAAGTCCCAGGGTGGCGATCAATTCAATTCCATCAATTTGGCCTCATTATTGAGTTGCGTTGACAGCTTATTCATCATTGGTCCCGTTGAGTTGAACCACCTGCCTTCAGATGGGGGCGATGGAGTTGAATTGAAGACGTTGAACCACGTACGGCCCATGGGGTCGCCGAGGCTAGCCGGCAGCATGTCAGTATCATCCCTAGACTCCATATAATGCTATTCGCATTCTCCTGACACGTCAACCAACGTATCCACGGCGTCGATTAGGCCATTCCGTACCCACGACCGTAACGTTTGCGTAATCCCTATCGTGCTGGCTTCAATCGAGTCCGTAGCGGTGACACCATTTGCCCAGTGGTACTAAAGAGACGCTCGCACTCTGCGGACATGGGAGGATCGAGAGCAAGTCGAGAGCCATCCGCGACAACCGTGGGTAGTCTTTCCGCCTCTGCCACCAATACTGAAATGGGTTGGTGACGAGAGGATCATTCTCAGCGTCAGCACTCGACAGCCAGCGGTCATATTCATCATGGTCCGGATTCAGTGAACTTTCCAAAGAGGAAGATTCGTTGGGCAGCGACGAAGTCCTCTGGGCTCGGTGTCTCTCAAGCGCGCTCATTGCCTTCAGTCGCTTGTACGGACGCTCTTCGTCAGGCATCGGAGGGATCGGCAGCGATTTGTACTCCTCCTCCCAGGTTTCTCACCATTCCTTTTGCCTCCTGTAGCCAGGGGAGCTGTGCTTTGTCAGTCCATGTATTCTCGAAATAACCCCAACGCGAAACCGGATTTAAAATAGCAGAAGCATAGTATGCTGGCGTCTCGTCAAGCTTCGTATAGTAGTCGTTCAACTTATCCCAGCCCAGATTAATGTTAGCCTTGAGGTGCTCTGGATCGGGGAACTTCTCCGCTACTGCTTTCCACTCCTCTAGTCTGTCCATCAGGAATTCGTAGGTTGAGGCAACGTCCCACATATTTCCGTATGCTTCAATGCGGCCTCCTTTTCGAACTCGGCTCTGGGCGTCACCTTCTAGCATTCGGAGTGCTTCTTCGAAGTCAACAAGCACCCTATCCATCAACCCAATGACCTTCCAGTCTTTATCGCTGAGAAGACTCTCCTCGCGGAGAGACAAAGGCATCTCTTTGCCCTTCTCATCCCATTGCGGCATTTTTCCTGAACTCAAGCGTGACCGGGGTCTGAGGGCCTTGAACCCCGCTAATTCCCACACAAACACAAATCGCTTTCCCCACCACTTTGCACCAACGCGTCGGACGAATCAGTTGTCGAACTATGGATTCTGCAAGTGTGCTATCCTTCTTCGATGCTGAATCTATTTTGTCGGACTCTACGACATCAAGATCTCGCAATACAAGAGGCAAAGCGGCTATCGCAACGTGGAAGCATGCTCGCGTTGCAGCAGAGGGGGAGGAAGAGTTTAAGGGCCGAAATCGCCTTCTCTATTGCAGCCATTGTCCCCAGACGAACACGTACAGCACTTCAGTTACCACTAACTTTCGAAAACATCTGGAGGGTAAGCACGATATTCGAGTCGTGGAAGATTTGACCCCTCTTCAATCGTCCATCTTTGAGGGGTTTGAGCAACTCTACCAGCAAGCACGGGACTTGGGCCGCACAACGGAGATTGAGTCGGAGGTCTTCAAACGCTACCTGGACCAAGACAAGATAAACAAAGCCTTAGCTTGGCTGATCGTCGCACGAAACCTTCCTTATCGAATTGTCGAATCCCGCGAATTTCACCTCTTCATTTCGACCTTGAACCCGGTCGCGAAGGACCATCTCCTTCCGCCCACTCGACTATTCCACGAATTATCGACAATCATTTCCAGTCGGCCAAGGATATCGTGCGAATGAAGCTCCAGTCAGCAAAATCCAAGGTTCACCTCTCGCTTGACATTTGGACGTCCCCCAATCGGCTCCTTCTTCTCGGAGTTTGCTCCCACTTTGTTGACCACGCACAAGAAGCACGACGGAAAGCTCTCCTTGCACTTCGGCCTGTGGCGAACCATTCCGGGAGGAGCAATTCGTTACACTTCTTCCCATCTTGCGGGACTTTGGTATTCTGCGACGCCTTGAAGCATCGTTGGGGATAATTCGAGCACGAATGACACCCTCTGCCGGGCAGTGAGCACGTATCTCAAGGAAGAGGGCGTCAAATGGGATCCTGAAGTTCACCGCCTCCGATGCCTAGGCCACGTTATCAACTTGGCAGTTCAAGCTTTCCTGTTCCAGAATTCTATTGACTTGAAAGAGGGCGAAATATGCGAAGACGCAGATGACCTGGCAAAGTTCAAAGGCAGCGCACCGAATTTCGCCGCCTTGGACCACTTGGTAAGCTCCACAACCTGGTTGTCAACATCCGGAGTTCATCAGGACGCAGTGGAGAGTTTATGGAACTCGCTGAAAGGGCATTTCACTTGACAATCGTACGAGGTGGAATAGCTGGTATCAAATGCTGCATGTTGCCACTCAGCAGGAAACTGCCAGCGCTCTGGACACCTACACCAAGAATCATTTCGAAGATCTTTCTGCGGATTTTCTATTGCCGGAAGATTGGGCCCGGCTCCGAATAATTGAGAAGATCCTTCAACCGTTCGCCCGAGCGACATTAGCAACACAAGGGGATCATGCGACCCTGGACAAAGTGCTCTTCACGATGGACGTCTTGATCCGATGCTTTGATGAAGCCCTGGTACCATGCCTTCCATTCCTCTGATCTCCTTGTGCAAGCGCTGAGATGGTGCAATAGGTCACGTACAAATCAGACACCGAGCTGTCCTTTAGGATCAAACGAGGGTGGGAAGTCTTTGACAAATATTATAGCAAGACAGAAGCATCGCCCTATTATGCAGCTGCCTTGATCCTTCATCCCAGCTATCGCACAACATACATCCAGGCAAATTGGAAGAAGAAGTGGCAAAAACCTGCGTTCAAACAGGTCAAAGACCTTTGGCTCACATACCGAGACACTGTGGATGGCGCCCTCTCGCAACATTTACTAGATGACGATGATGACGAGGACCTTGACGCGTTTGATCGCATTTCAAGGAACCTGCAGAATTGCACTCGACCGTCAAGCCAGGACGAGTACGAAGATTACATTTCATGTGATCCGTACGACATTACGCCGACGACGGCCTTGTCATGGTGGCTTCAAGAGCAACAGAGAAAACGATGGCCCAAGCTATCACAAATGGCCATAGACATCCTATCAATGCCGGCGATGAGTGATGAACCTGAGCGGGTGTTCTCAGGGCGCGTCGCACAATCTCATGGGAAAGAGCCCAATTGGACGCGAAACAAGTCGAAAGGGAGAATGCTTAAAGCATTGGCTCAAGAACGATATCTTGCAAGGGGCCGAGGGTGGTGGCGGGTCCCCAGATTTTGGGTAAAATCCTGGCTCAACTTCTACGCCTGTTTCCTGCAAAGGAGCAAATTTCTGCTTGGCATCCCCTTGACCGGTCGTCTGTCATTACGTTCACGTTAACTGTTCCTTGATTTTCATTGATTCATGTCGTGTTTGGCACGTTTTGCCGAGACCATATAGGTGAGCTGTTGCGGGATGCGCACGGACCAAGAATGGAAAGGTGTATTGCAATACTTGCAATAAATGTGGGGCGATACTCCAGTATGGATTGCACACCTTTCCATATATGGAAAACCACCCTGCGAAGCCGGTACGTCAGCTTATCGGACTGATGGATCCAATTTACTAGGTTGTGGAGCTTTCCGACTGGGCCTTTCTTTCGCCAGATTTCATGCTGGACCGCGTCAAGAACAGGCTCCCCGTTAATCTCTGCCTCAAACGCGTCGGCCTTGTGTCCAAATAATAGCGCCTTGACCACCAAGTTGAGCACGTGGCCGAAGCATCGCACCCTCCGCTTCTTCGGATCAAAGCCCAGTGCCTCTGCAATCTCCTCTGTCGCCGTATCCATATTGCCAGCGTTGTCCAGTGTAATATAGCCCACCTTGTCGAGGATCTCATAGCTCTCTAGGATCTCGAGGATCTGGGCTGCAATGTTTTCTCCCGAGTGTGAGATCTTCAGCTCCGGCATGCCTAGGACAAGCTTTGATGGAACTCCATCCTTGTCGATGTAAAACATATAATCCCGTATAAAGCGTGCCGATTCCTGGAACGCCAGCCGTCGAACGCAATGTGAATTTGGCCCGGGGTGCTCTTTAGATTGTCGATTACGCACGTCTTGTATCGGGTATAAAGGTCAACAATTCGCTTTCGAACGGTATCGTGCGAGATGTGGGCATTCGTCACTGCGACCGATGGATTCAGGTATTCGAAAATATGTCGGAGGCGACAGTGCTCGGGCTGGCGAAAGGAGACGTTGGCGTCGACCACCCACTCGAGAAGAAGTCTCTGAAAATGGTCCTTATCGAAGCGCTGGATGAGGGCGTTCGCGATACCTTGCTCTTTGGGGTCTGAAGCATTGAGGTTCAACATCTCCACAATATTCTTTGACGGGGTCTTGTCCCTGGTTCCTTTCCCAAGAGCGGGCGCCCCCTCTTCCCGGACAGATCGACAAGCCTGTGCTCTTTGAACAGATGATTCTCGATGTTCTGAGTGCCAGCGGCAGAGAAGTCTGATGTTTTTTGCTTCGGCTTCTTGAGGCAGGGCTTGCAAACCCATTTTCTTTTCGTGGGAGAATCGCTAGGTTGAATGTCGAAACCATGCTGCCAGACCCACGAAGTCTGCCTGCCAGCACGCTCGGAAATCGTATAACCTGGAAAATGGTTCCATGGGAAGATGCTCCATTCGTCTTGCAAAGCATCCATGTTAACAAACGACTTGCTGGATGAGCCTCCGTCTGAAGCACGCTGGGGCTTAGTAGGAACGTCGGTTTCCATTTGGCCGCAGGAAGGGGATGCATTCGTTTGGGGAAGGTTTCTCTGCGACGCGACTCGGGGAACTTCAGCCCAAACGCGTTCAATCGCCCAGGTACTTATACATTCGTTACATCTGAAAACAGTATGGAATGGAAGTACTACAACACTCAATACGGTAACTAAGGCTAACCTTGAGGGTGATCACGCGAATCACGCGCGTCAGACGCGACTCGATTAGGTACCTAAGTGTAGATGCTACCTAGATCACCTCCTGCTTCAACGGCTTCAACGCGTGGTCAACGTTCGAGGCGGAGGCGTGGATTGAAGCTCTCAATGTGCAGGTGATATTGAATTGATTGAATTGAAACACGTGACTTCCACTTCAATATTATTGAAGACGTGGAGGTGGAGGTGGAATTGATCGCCACCCTGATCTTAGCAAGCAAGAACAGAGCGTTTTTCTTACAGAAGGGAACTACGTCGCCTACATCGCCGTTTCGGGCACCCCGCTACAGATCGCCTATTCAAGCTGCTAACCCGGGCCGGCCACGAAGTCGAACAGCAACGGCTAGAGGAAATCGGCAAATTCTGTCATCACTGCCAACTACACGGACGAGAGCCTCGTAGGTTTAAATTCAGCCTAAAAGATGACCATGAATTCAACTATGAAATTCTTGTCGATGTGATGTACTTAATTAGCCGCCCTGTCTTACATGTCGTCGATTCTGCTACTGCTTTCCACGGGCTAGGTTCCTGAAGTCCCTATCAACAAAGGACACTTGGGAAGCCCTCCGCTGCTTATGGATCGATACGTACCAAGGACCCCCGGACGTTGTTACCCACGATGCAGGTACGAACTTCGCCTCAACGGAATTTCAAACCGAGGCCAAGATGCTAGGGATTACCTGTAAGGAAGTCCCTATTGAAGCCCATTGGTCTATCGGCAAGGTTGAACGGTACCACGGCCCTTTGCGACGAGCGTTTGAGATTATGTACGCAGAGCTCTCAAGCCAGGCAGACGCAGATTCGATCCTCCAGATGGCCGTTAAAGCAGTCAACGATACCGCCGGACCAGACGGACTTGTACCTACCCTTCTTGTCTTCGGGGCTTACCCTCGAATCACCGCCGATTCGCCGCCGAATCCCTCGGTAATCCGACGCGGTGAGGTCGTACGCAAAGCTATGAAGGAACTACGCAAGTTTATGGCCAACCGGGACGTTAAAGAGGCCCTAGGCACACGCAATGGTCCAACAACTATTGACGTTCTAAACCTCAAGTTGCAAAGCGAGGTATGCGTTTGGCGGGAGAAGGTTGGCTGGCGAGGCCCTATAAGGTTATAAGTATAAAAGACCATGATATCACGGTTGATATGGTTAACGGACCAACGACCTTCCGATCAACTGTCGTGAAGCCGTACTATAAGGACGATAACTCCCCTGCTGCCCCCGGCACGGACGAACAACCTCGGAAGAGAGGACGCCCGCTTAGATCGACGAATGCACCCGCAGCTCAGACAACGGAGCCCGCAGCCCAGACAGCCGTAAAGCCGCCCACAGGACCACGCAAGCGAGGTCGACCCCCGGGATCGAAAAATAAGAAGCATAGCTTGTACAACGCCCAGACCTTCCTACAGAAACGGGAAATGGACGATATTGCCCTTGCCATTAAGCTTCGAGACGACGGCGTCATTACAACGCCAGGTGCCCCGTTTGAACAGTCCGATCAAAAAATCAATGACCTCATCGGACGAGGGGTATTTACCTTCGAGTTATTCGACCCGACCAAGCATCGAGGAACACGGATTTTCAAGTCACGATTAGTCCGAGAAGTTAAAGGAAAGTATATAAAGCCGTACGAAAGTCTCGCCTCGTAGTCCAAGGCTATAACGACGACGAGAAGAACACTCTTTGACCCAATCGCCTACCATCCAGCGGGCTAGTCAAAGACTAATCATAGCCCTTGCCCCAACGCTCCTTACGTCCGGTATGTCCCTCGAACTAAGGGATATATCACAAGCCTATACGCATTCAACGACAGGACTTGCACGCCTAGTCCTAACCTATCTTCCCATCGAACTACAGGATAAGTACCCAAGGGGACTATCATCCGATCGTCCGCCCTCTTTATGGCATTGCAGAAGCAGGCCTACATTGGTTCGCAACATACCACAAGCATCATAGGGAGCAGCTACGGATGTCGACTTCAACGTTCGACCCATGCCTCCTTATAACGAACACGGACCCCAACCAAGCGTTTGGCATAGTGGGCATGCAGACGGATGACACCTGATCCTCGGAACAGCAGGCTTTTCTGTACACGAAGAAAACAAGATACAAGAAGCTAAGTTTATCGCCAAGCCAAAGACAAAGCTTTTAATTTCTTCGGCCCTAGACTTCAACGGCTGTACGCTTGCACTAGACGAAAAGGTCGAATTCACCTTAAGCAGAAGGGACAAGCTAAGAAAATCGCCCTTATTAACGTGGAAGCTTCTGATCGTATGCAAAAGTACATGGAACAACGCGCCCGAGGAGCCTATATCGCCTCAATCTGCCAGCCAGAAGCTACGTGTGATATGTCAACCGCGGCACAGGTCCAACAGCCCACAGACACGGACTGCATCACCCTCAACAAAAGACTCAAATGGCAACAGGACAACCTACAAAGAGGGATCCAATACGTGCCCCTAGACCTACAGACAGCTAAACTAATGGTCTTTACGGATGGATCATTTGCCAACAATAAGGACCTCTCATCACAAATCGGCTTTCTTGTTATGCTTGTTAACGAAAAACAAGAAAGCTCCGAGGATGTTCCTTCTTTTAACATTAACGGCAATTTGATCCATTGGAGCTCTACGAAGTGCAAGAGGGTAACCTGAAGTGTGCTTGCCTCCGAGATCTACGGCATGACCGACGGATTTGACATCAGCCTTGCTATTGCAACGACCCTAAGAATGATCACCGACCGACTGAATCTCCTCCAATCCCCTTATCGTCTGCGTAGACTCTTATTCCCTTTACGAATGCATTGTCAAGCTCGGCACAACAAAGGAAAAGCGTCTTATGATTGACATTATGGCTCTACGGCAGTCATATGAGAGACGGGAGATATTAGAAGTCCGATGGATCAACGGCAACGACAACCCAGCTGATGCAATGACGAAGGCGTCACCAAACAAGGCCCTTGAGCGCTTCATCTCGACTAACCAGCTGACTATCCGGGTAGAAGGGTCAGTCCATAGGCCAGTGTGAAACAGAGCGTCTCCTTGCCTTTTGACTTCTTTCCTTCCCTGGCCACTAGATTATCAACCAGCTATATTGTTACCTTTGTCTTTCCTTGAAAGAAAAAGTTGCTAGTGTCTAGATGCGGAGGACTTCATTATGTGGGGACATGGGCTCTACTGGCCCTACGCGAGAAGGAGGCTTTATAGGAGGGTCTCGGAAGATATTCGGACCGGGTTACACGCCCTTCATTCCTCCCTTCCTTCCTTCTTCTCCTCCTTCCCCTCATTCTTCTTCATCTTTTTCTCTTCTCTTCATAGATTACCAATACAACAGTCACAGGCATAGCTCTTTAGCACCTTTGATTCGTATTCTCTATCACCCCTGTGCACAGCACGAATACCCACGACCCAACATAGACCTTTATTTTTCCTAGGTAATATATCCTTTTATAGGAAGGACTAAATAAATAAACTTCTATATAAGTAGAGCGTACTATATCTTACTAAAGAAATAATTACTTAATATTAAAAGTATATACCCTTAGGTAGAGATTAAAAAGGATATTAATTATACTTAGTAAAATAAAGGTAGATACTTAAGGGTAAGAATAGAATTCTAGCTATATTCTAAATAGTTCTTTTATCCTACTACCTCCCTTTTACCCTTTATGTCACGGCGAGCGAAAGGGGACTGCAGACAAAGCTAGCAAGATACTCTGTAACGAAAGAATACTAAGATGAAGAGGAAAGAAAACCACATAACTCCTAACGCCGTGACCTCCTCATATCCTCCCTGTCGCTTCGGACCTGGATGACGGGGCTGCCCGTACCTACCGTCGGAGCTGCCCGTGCCCGGAGCTGCCCGTCCGGAGCTGCCCGTCCGCGGGTGCCGTGCCCGTCCGCGGTTTCCGTAGTAGTCCCCAGGTGTGTCACGGTAACCCAGGGGTCCCAGGTAGGGCCCTGACACTACCCCCTCCTTCCGGAGAGCTCGCCCCGAGCTCTGACCAATGCCGTAATGCCAATACCCAGAGACATACCTACTTCGTTACCCGCCGTCGCCTCATTTTTGTGTTGTCTTGCCGTTGAGTCGGGAGGTCGTCATCTGGTGTGTCTAGGGCGACTTGGTCCGTCGCCGCTGCTTGGATCCATGCAGCTAAGCGGCCCGGAGGGCCAGGCTTATCGGGGTGGGCGTTGTGGAAGTGTTGTAGGGCTAGCGGAGCGTTTTTGAAGTTACTCGCTAGATACCAATCTGGGTCCGGGTCCCAACCCTTCCAACTAACCTGGTATTGCAGCTTTCCCCTGGCAATCCTGGATGCAAGGACTTGGTCGATCTCCCACTCGGATTCCCCCTGTATGACTACCGGCGGGGGCGGTTCGTAGGTCTGTCCTGGTACCGGATCCGAGGGCGCTTTAAGTAGTCGGCTAGCGTTAATAACCCGGTGGATTTTCATCGTTGGTGGTAGGTCCAATTCGAAAGCGTTTGGCCCCTTAGCCGATAAGACCCGAAACGGGCCTAGGTAGGGTTGATCCAAGCCGTCACTCGGGCGTCCCGTTGACCAGTGTCCCTTTTTCAGGTATACCAGGTCGCCTACCTCCCAGTCGACCTCCCTACGGCGTTTATCCGCCTGCCGCTTGTATTCCGCCTGCTTGGTGAGTAGGGTTTCCTCGCCCACCGGACCCCTCGGCGGCCCGGGAGGCGAACTGCTGCGCCGCTGTTCGCCCTAGCTGCTCTCTGGGGGGGGCCGTCGCTGTGGGTGGCGCCACGGACCAGTCGAACGACATTCGGGGTAAGTATCCCATCTCAAGCTCCGCAGGTGCTAGACCGATGCTCTCGTGTGGGTGGGTTGAGTGTGCGAAATCCAAGCAGGGCATTTCGGACCAGTTATCCTGGTAGTAGTCTAGATAGGGACGGAGCTTTGTCTGTAGGAACTGGTTTATTATCTCGGTCTGACCGTCCGTCTGAGGATGTTCGGCCGTAGATAGCTTCATCTTCGTCCCCACGAGGCGACAAAGTTCGTTCCAAAGCTCGAAATAAACTGCGGCCCGCGATCTGACGTAATGGTCTCCGGTGCGCCGTAGGTCCTCCAGATATGCTCGTAGAAAAGCCAGGCCATATCCTGCGCGGTACAGGTCGTATATGTCGGTAGGGAGAACGTCCTCTTGCTCAACCGACAGACCGTAACGAAGACCGCCGTATACCCCTTCTTGTCTCGTGGCATTGTCTTAAAGTCCATAGAGATGTGCTGCCAGGGCGCTCCGGAATTGGCAGTGGCTGGAGTAGTCCTGCTGGTCGGAGGCGGAGTCTTGGGACCGCTTGCAGTCCGCGCAGTTCGCGCAGTAACGGTCAATAAAACCTCCTATCCCGAGCCAGTAGTACCGTCTCGTTAAGATCTTCCTCATCTTATTCCGGCCGGGATGTGCCTGACTTCGCGGACGGTGCGCCTCGTGACAAAGGGCAGTCCGTAGGTTCGCCTCGTCGGGGACGACTAGTCGTCCATCGTAACAGAGGAGGCCACTCTGGACTTGGAACCGGGAGTCTGGTATCTCTGCTTGCTCCCTTTCGGAGCGTAGCGAGGGTGAAGCCCGGTTTGCCTGGAGGATCGCTTCGATAAGCTCGAATCCTTCCAGTAGGCACCCATCTCTAGAGTTTGGGGTCTCGGCTTGTCTTGCGGAACCGGGGGTATATATGGCAATAGTAGGGTCGTCTCCGCCTGCGGCGCCTGCGGCTATAGCAGCCCTCCGTCGTGCCCCTGCAAACTGAGTTGCTGGGATTAGGATCTGCGAGCGGTTCAACTCCTTGAGCGCCTTCTGTAACTGCACGTCCTGGGCCTTGCGGGAAAGAGCGTCGGCGACGACGTTTTGCTTGCCCGGGCGATAGTGGATTTCGAATCCGACCATAGCAAGGGTCTCGATCCATCGAGCTTGCCGTGCGTTTAGCATCCTCTTTGTAGCGAAGTACTGGAGGGCTTGGTGGTCGGTGAAGATCTTGATGACTCCGGGAGCGACTAGGGATACAAGGCATCCATTCCTTCAGGCACACGATAATAGCCAGGAGCTCCTTATCGTGTATCTCATAGTTACACTCCGCTGCGTTCATCGTTTTCGTAAGGAACGAGACCGGGTGCCATTGTCCATCGTCCGCTAGTTGTGAGAGCACGCCCGCGATAACCCCATCCGACGCGTCAGTCTCTAGCTTCGTCTCGCGGTCCTCTATGAAGTGGACGAGGACTGGCGCGGTAGTTAGAGCTGTCTTTAGGGTCTCGAAGGCCTCAAGGCACCGGTCGTCGAAATCCCACCTACTCTCCCTGTCAAGCGGTTTAGGGTCGGCAGATTCTACCGTAGTTACGGATAAACCGACGGTAGAAGTTGCAGAATCCGAGGAAGGACTGCAGCTCTTTTTTGCATCGTGGGGTCTGCCAGGTCAGGATAGCCGAGACTTTCCTAGGGTCGACGGAGATACCATCCGTACTAATAATAAACCCAAGGAAATCCGTCTTTGTGACACCGAATTCGCATTTCTTGATGTCTACTTGAAGACCCGCTTCCCGAAGTCGCTCTAGAACGAGCCGTACGTTTCGCATATGTTCCTTCTTATCTTCGGAGAACACGAGGATATCATCGAGGTAGGCCGTACAGAAAGAGTCGAGGTAGTCCCAAAGGGTCGTGTTAATAAACCGTTGGAACGTACTAGGCCCGTTGCATAACCCGAAGGAAGGACCTTGTAGTGGAACTGGCCGTAACGCGTGCGGAAGGCGGTTAGTTCGACTGAATCCGGTTCGAGCCGGATCCGGTGGAACGCCTGCCTAATATCTAGCTTCGTAAATATCTTCGCCTTCGCAATGCGGTCTAGGGTCTCGCTAATAAGAGGATAGGTACCGATCCTTCTTAGTTAGCTGATTGAGTTCCGGAAATCTACGCAAAAACGCAGCTTGCCATCCTTCTTTTTGCAAAACAGACAGGATCCGAACTGTGCGCTGCTTGGCTCAATGAAGCCCTTCTGGAGACTATCCTGTAAATACTCCTTCATAGTCTCCAGCTGTTCGCGGTTAAGGCTGTACAATGGGTGCGTTCGTAACGCAGCAGGCCCTGTTAGTTCGATCTTATGGTCTACCCTGGGCGGGACGGAGGCATCCTATTGCTGTCCTCGCGGGAGAACACGTCGGCTAGGTCTGCGAGCTCTGGAGGTAGCTTTTCTGCGAGGAAACGGTCGTCCTCGTCCTGTTGGTTATCCTGCTCGCCCTTTCCCCGAGCGCCTTATCGATCATGTGAAGGTTGAGGAAAGTCACATCTTCGTAGGCATGCCGATGGTCCTTCCTGCGACGGATACCTGCGTGGAATGCTGGTGCCGAAATCATCAGTATATCGAGATCCTGCGCCTCCGTTGGTACCGTGGCCTGATATCCTTCTGGCAGGGTCTCTCCACTCGATGCCCGCCAGTGCTCGGTTCATCTTCCCAGGTCATCCCCTCGATGAGTAGAGTACCGTGGACGATGTTGCCGTGGGCCGATGGTGCTCGTGGCCCCTGTTGGTTCCTGTATCGCGGAGAGATCTGGATGATATGGGCCGCGCCGTCTTCTTCCTGGTCCTGTCTTTCTGCTTCTTCCCAAAGGTGGTCTCGCCGCTCTACGTCGGCCTGAACTCGTAGGGAAACTGGCTTCGGTACATAAGACGAGAAGCCTTAAGTGCAATATCTGGGATCCAGTCCTCTGGGCTTCCAGCTCAGGAGGAAGATAAGGCGACGACGGCGGCAGTCGAGACGGATATCGAAATGGCTCAAGAACATAAGTCCTACGATCAGGTGGAAATCGTTCCTCGTCCCTAGGTCGGCCTCAAGGATCGGTTGATCGCGGAAAGTCCGCCCTGGAGCTGGAAGTCTGCTTGGATAGAAGAAGTGATACACTGAGCACGACCATCAATTCCCTTAATATAACGCGGCGCTGTATAGCTGCGTCTAGGAGGTCGAGTCGTTTAGCTGCTGGCTTTGTTAGGCGTGAGTTGCCTAATAGCCACGTTTGTGCTCCGGTATCCACAAGGATGCGTACTGAGATAGCGAGACCATGTTTGCGAATCGTGCTATTAATCACAAAACTAGGACCGCCAATTAAGTGATCAATTGTCGATAAGTTCAGGTTCTCAGTAAGCTTGCGAATACTTAGGATATAGCCTGTGCGGGAGCCTTTGCTCAGGCTATGGCATTTCCCGCTACCTCGAACTCCTCATCTTGATCGTCCTGCGACTCGCTACCTTCGCTGTCCGACCCTTCCAATAACGCTCTCAGTTGGTCGTTTACCGTCCCCACTGCCGCCACAAGTGCGGCCACTCGTGGGGATCCCTTTGTCGGACAGACGGCAGCCTGATGGCCCGGTCTTTTGCAAACGAAACAGTTCCCTTAAAGGTACCATCAGACGGCAACGTGGTAGTCGGCGGGGTCGAGGGTCGCTGGGCCCGTAACTCGGTTTGGGGAGCGAATCGGACTGCCTTTGACCGAGGGAGGCGGATTATTCCTCGGTCTGGGGTCGGTATCCTAGTCTTCGCAACCTCCTCTCGGTCCTCCTTCAGTCCTCTAACGCGTCAACCTGAACAAGATACCGGGCAGTCATCCGGTCACGATATTGAGCAAACGTAAGCTCCTCGTACCGCTCGTAGATATCTTGGCTGTTTAGGCGGATCCGACCGGTGAGCTTCTTGTGAAGCTCTGTGATCCGGTCTCGGTCATGGAGTCCTGCTTTTGTCGCAAGGGTTACGAACTTCGCTGCGAAGTCGATAAAGGACTCCCCTTGTTTCATTTTCAGGCTATCCAGCCGCTGCCTCGCCTCCCACTTGTGGCTCTTGTTATCGTAAACTGACCCAAGGAGCTCGAAGATCTGACCCACGGATCTGATCTCGAGGTCGTCCTGTTTCGCGAGGTAGGGCGCTAGGACCTCGTGCGCTTGTCCCTTGATAAGGGTCGCGATCCACGTAATCCTAGCGAATTCGTCGGGAAAGAAGTAGGCGTTTAATTCCATCTTCCGCTCCACTGCTGCCTTCCAGTCAGCGTAACGCGGATTCGATCCATTGTCCAAGGGCTCCGGGTCCTGATCTTGATTGTATTGTGCCGGGTCCGGGCTGTGGACGTAGTCGACGATGGCGCCTGCGAGGGGGTTCGTTCTTCAGACGGGGGAGATGGCGTGAGGTCGTGGGGTGTGTGGTGCTCCTGAGGGGGCCCGGGGGTATCCTGTCGGAGCGCCCCAGAGTCTTTGATGCCTGCATAGCTCGCCTCGATCGCACGGATCTGGTCCGTGTAATCCATAAGATCTTGCTGGCGAGCTCTAGCCTGACGGCCTAGCTCCTTCTGGTTCGCGAGGGCTCGTTCGAGGATCTGACGGGCAACCTTCTCTCGGGTGCTGGACCGTTCGACCGTCCAACGAAGTAACTGTAACGCCGCGTTACGTTCGTTGACTAAGTGTTGCAGTTCCTAGCAAGACCCTCATGTTTCGCATTCGCGATGACGCTTTCACCCAGGCCGCGTCTAGGGTCCCGCTCGTGCGGCCTGTCTTTGCTGTAAAGGGGGTAGGGTTCTCCTGCGCGGCAAGGACGGTGTGTGCGAACTGCTGGACGAGGTCCTGGTCGGAATCCGTAAGGAGGAGCTCGTGCAAGTCTGTTGTCAGTTTCTGGGGGACCTGGAAGTCGCGGCCCACTCTAGCCGTCTCTTCTAACGGTCTCTGCATTGTCGTTCGTCCCTCAAGTAGGGGATCAGGTTGTCTCTCGTTCTTCTGACTAGCCATCTGTACTTCGATGCAGTCGTGGTCGTCGGCGGGCCCGTCTAGGCTGGCCGGAGTCTCGCTCGTCGTAGGAGCCATCGTACGCGTACTAGCGGACGGAAGATCAGTTTCTAACTGATATCTTTGGAATCTTCCACGTAGGGTAAGGGTGCCGGGTGTGCGGCGTGACCGGCGGCAATAACCACTTAGCGCAATTGGCAGAGCAATTAACGCAAATGGGTATTGGGGTCGGTAAGGGCGATCTTAGTATTATGTCACGGCGAGCGAAAGGGACTGCAGACAAAGCTAGCAAGATACTCTGTAACGAAAGAATACTAAGATGAAGAGGAAAGAAAACCACATAACTCCTAACGCCGTGACCTCCTCATATCCTCCCTGTCGCTTCGGACCTGGATGACGGGGCTGCCCGTACCTACCGTCGGAGCTGCCCGTGCCCGGAGCTGCCCGTGCCCGGAGCTGCCCGTCCGCGGGTGCCGTGCCCGTCCGCGGTTTCCGTAGTAGTCCCCAGGTGTGTCACGGTAACCCAGGGGTCCCAGGTAGGGCCCTGACACTTGGGCGGCGGCGTCACAGGCGTATCGGTAGGCGGGCCCGGAGCCTTGGAAGGCGTGTGCGGCGCGGTCGAGGGCGGCGTAGCAAGCGAGTAGGAGGCGGCGCGGACGAGGTCAAATGCGGAGGAGGCAGAAGAGGGTTGGCGCCTCAGGGGCTGTGCCTGCGGGGAAGCGGAGGCGGCAGCGGCGGAAGACCTATCATGGAAAGTCCAGCTGTCCGGGACGACGACGAAGACGTAATCGCGGTCCGAGCCGGGCGGGACACACATCACGCCATGATCGAGAAGGCCGGCGACCTTGCCGGTGCAGGTAAACGGGGTACCAGGCAGAAAGGGAGAGGCGGACCTCTCGGCCAGCTTCTTACATAGGACGAGCCAAGGGTTCGCATAGATGGGAAAGATGACAAAGACCTGAAAGGGGTGGTAGCCCTTGAAGGGAACCTTGTCCGGGACGCCAGGGGCGATGTACGTCGATAGCTGGATCAGGGCGCAGCAGCGGAGCTGGTCGGTGCCAAGACCAGGAAGAAGATCGGCCTGCAGGAGGTCAAGTCCGGAGCCGGCGACGACGCCGTGAAAGGAGACAACAGGAGGCGTCGAGGGGAAGTGGCCGTCGGGCGCCAAGGAGCGCGGGAGAACGCTCAGGGAAGAGATCAGCGGGACCGCAAAGTGGAGAGAGGGGAGGCTCACGGCTGGTAGCCCTGGTCACGGACGACGAGGGCGGGCATCGTATAGAGGAGAGTCTCGCCGACGTCGGACTCGAGACCGTCGCGGCGCTCAACCTCCCAGGCGAGGGCGTAGGGGTGGACGCGGCCGGACATGAAGAACCACTGCTCAGTCCAATCCGAGTCGACGACCGGCTGGCCGTAGATTGAGAGATTCAAGCTAAAGAAGAGGGACGAGACCTCGGCATCGTCCCCCCTGGCCCGTAGGGGATCGTATTCGAGCGCCCGCAGCCACGGGGGGACGGGCAGCAGGACGCGGGCGATGGCCTCGGCGTTGAGGCCCCTCACGTGATGCTCGTCCTGGTGGGCGAACCTCACGGGGCAGTCGGGCTGGGCGAAGAACATCATGGTCATGTCGCCGCCAGCGCCCTTATTTCCTGTAAGAGGCCTACGAAGGTGCGGCGGAGAGTCGGTGGTGGGCGGCGTCGGGGACATTATAGCCCTCTAGCAGGAGGTAAGTCAACCAGTAAGCAATAGGGCAAGGGAGGGGAGCTATACATAGCTGTATAGACCGTAAAGAAGTCTATATAGCGCGATACTATATTAGGAAGCGCGGTACGGTTATGGAGATTAGAAGATCGGATGTAGGTTAAAGTCCTAGAGAAAGAAGGAATAAAAGGTTAGCAGGGCAGGCCATCTATATATAGGGGTTCCATACAGGCGATAGAAAAGACATAGATGAAAGCAAGGAGAATAAAGGTAAGGGATAGGAAAGATATAAGCGGCGGTCTACTACAAGATTAAGGGATCTTAATATATAAGCCATACAGCAGGGCTAGGCGTGAAGGAAAAGGCATAGCATTGTCTCTGATGCGTACGAGACATGGAACTAAAGGCGGTCACATAAGCGCCTAGGGACGGACCTAGACGTTGGCTATGGGGTCCTAGGAGAGAAGAGGGAAAGCGTGGCGCATAGAGCGTCAAGGACGAGAAGCCATTAGTAGGACCTACATGTAGGGAACAGCCGAGGCCGCATCAGCCAGAGGGCAGGGCAGCAGGCGTCAGTCAGTACAGACCGTAGATAGCTAGCGCGGGTGTAGTAGTAAGTTAAGTAGCATGTGTAAGGACATGCCAAGTCGGGAGGCCGAGGGCATATAGATATGTGATTAAGAAACATGTGTTATGTGGAAGGTATGGGCTGAGCGGGAGCATGGCGAAGAGAGGGGGCCATATGCCAGCGGCCTGTATATGAAGAATGTTTGCCGAAGGAGGTAGTGGCATAGTAAGTAGGCAAGGCCGAGGGAGCATAGGCAATAGAGGTAGCAGCATCCATCACGATGAAGCCAGCCAGCACAGAAGGGCAGCACGGGGCCGAGAGCGGCGCAGGCCCAGCACGGGAGGCACCCAGAGCGCCATATACAGAAATGAGGTTCAGGCCGATATTGGCGGCGCCGGTGCCCGGCACACAGGCCCGGCAGGGGGCGCATGAGAGGGCGTCAGGGGTGGTGCTGCCGAGGCGGAGGCGGCGGGGCGGCCGGCCGGCGAGGAATCCGGGGGAGGGGAACGGCGCGGGGGAGGCACGCACGATCACGGCCACCCCAGGCCCGGAGCCTCTAGGCATAAGTGACCAGGCAGCCCGGGACGTGGAGACAACGCCGTCGACACCGGAGACAAGGGAGAGGGGGAGACCTAGCGGAGGCAGCGGCGGCCTTCCTACGCCGCCAAGCTCCGGCCAAAGCGCAGCGGCCCGGGCAGGAAGGAAGCCTGGGCGGCTAAGGCGGCAGATCGACATAAGCCAGCGGCCGCTATTCCGGGATATCCAACCGCAGCCGACATCGGGGGCGGCCTCAGCGACACAGCCATCGAGCGCGGCGATCCTAGGCATAGGTCCGACAGCACGGCAAAGACAGCCTCAAAGCATACTACCGCGGCCCGGGGGCGGGCCACAGGGCGCCACAGGGGACGCCGCCGAGAGTGCACAGCCCATTAGAGGAATAGAAAACCAACGCGCCGGTATAGTCCCCAAGCAGGATCCTAGGGCTGGTCCACGGAGAGAGTTAGTTAACGGGATATAGATAAGGCGACGACGGGCCCGCCGCCCCCTCGACAGAGGCAGAAGAGGAAGCGTAGCCCGGTCAGCAAAGAAATCGCGGCAAGACATGGCCGCCGCGGGGCAAGCGTGGCCAGGCCGTCCCTAGGCCCCTCGAAAAGTCAACAGGCGCCTCGGGATATATTACCTCGGCCAGTAGCCGCGATAGAGAGCGCTATATGGGACACGGCTGAGGCTGTGGGGCCTGGCGAAGCAGTAGAAGGCCAACGCGCAGGTAGGGTTTCTAAACGGTGCCAAGGCATATGTATAGAGAAGTCTAATTGGATATAGATCGGATGACGAGAGGCACGCCACGTCGAGAGAGACAGAAGCGGAAGGGCAATGCCGCCAGCGGACAGACCGAGGCAAAACGGAGCCGCGGCGACCAGAGGAGGCCAAGGCCAAGGGAGATGCAGGCCGAGGACCTGGCGGACGTGCTGCGGGGCCTCGAAGAGGAGTTCGATGCGGGCGAGAGGCTGGCTGACGAGCGGGCGTGGTGCGCGCCGGTGCCGCGCGAAAGGGAGGTCAGGACGGTGCGGAGGTTCTACCGGGCGTTCCATGACGCTGGCACGCTACCGATCAGGACGTGCACGCTGTGCTACCGGAAGCAGGCCAGGGTGGAGCTCAGGGAGATGGCGTGGGAGGGCTGGGCGCGGCGCGGCGCGGCGCAGGGAGGTAGGCGGTCCCCGTTCGGCTGCCGAAGCTGCTTCCCCGGGGGCACGCCGGTGCCGGTGTGCGCCGAGTGCGCGCGGCGGGTCGGGCGCGACGGCGCATCGGCGGCGATGCACCTGCACCGGCGGCTCGGCTGCGAGCACACGTACCCCGACGAGCTCAAGGACCTGACGCCGGTCGAGGAGAAGCTGATCGCGCCCAACTCGTGCTACGGCTTCGTGACAAAGTATAGCATCCCCGGCGGCCAGAGGCAGAGCGTGAGGTACCCGAGGCACGTCAAGGGCCACATCACCGTGTTCCCCAACGACGTCCAGGGGCTCGCGACCAAGGTGCTCCCGCACCCGCTGGTCCGGGTCATGGACGAGATCCACGTCTCGTGGCAGGGCGCCGAGAGGCCCGGGCCGCGGGACCTGTGGGGCCTGCTGTCGGTGCGGCGGCGGGTGGTCGAGAGGGCGCTGGCCTGGCTCAAGGAGAACAACCCGCTGTACGGCGATATCGAGATCGACACGGCCGAGATGGACAGCTGGGGGGAGCCGGCCTACGGGGTGCCGGCGGCGGTGTTGGAGCGGCTGGAGCGGAACGAGCCGTCGGCGCGGGAGAGGACGCAGACGGCGCAGCTGGTGCCGCCGACGGAGCGGGCCCTGGACGACGAGGGCGCGGTCGAGATCGAGGAGGTGCTCGCGATGCTGAGGCAGGGCCGGGACCCCGCCGAGGGCCGGCCCGACCCCGGGCCCACGCGCGAGGGGGAGGGTAACGGCGAGGATTGGGAGGGCGCTAGGCCGGAAGGGGACGGGGACATAATAATCAACGAGGTAACGTCGTCCGGCATGTTCCCCCTCGACGGGGCGCCCGAGGTGGCGGACACGGACAAGATCCGCTTCGCCCGCGAGGCTATAGGGACTACCAATATAGGCCCAAGGACATGGGTTAACACGGCGGCCGGAGCGGCGGCGGGGAGCGGCGGCGACAGCGAGCCCTATATACAGGTGCGGCGCGGGGACGAATTTGCCGACTCGGCAGACGCGTCCTTCTTCGCCAAGGCGTTCCCGACCCTATTTCCCTTCGGGCTAGGTGGGCCGAGGCTCGCCGACGAGGCCGCCGCGGGGGAAGGCGCGGCCGCTAGCGCCGGCCACCGGGGCGGCGAGGCGGAGCGGGTCGCTGAGGGCCTTACATCAACACGGAATATGAAGCTCGAAGCCTGGGCTGATGTCGTGCTGCGGCGCCACGGCGGACGGTTTGCGACGCACCCCATCTTCGCCTTCCTCGTCTTTAATATGGGCGTACGGTCCAGGAACCGCCAGGCTAGCATGCTGGGCGTGACGAGGAAGAACTTTGCACGGGTCGAGGGCCTGCTAAAGTCGTTAACGGCGCAGAGACTCGAGGCGGCGAAGGTCGAGCTCGAGGCTACGGGCAAGACCAGCGACGACGGGGTGACGGAGCTCCTGCGGTCCCTCTCAGTGTTCGGGCATAGGCAGCCCATGTCCAGGGAGAGCCGCCTAAGCATGCGGAAGAAAATACTCTCCCTTATTATCAGGTACGGGGTGCCGGCGATCTGGTTCACGCTGAACCCGAACGACATCACGAACCTGGTAAAGCTGCGGCTGGCAGCGCACCGCGGCCGCGACCCTGACGCCGCGGAGGCTTTCCTTCGAGACCTGGGGACCGCATATAAGCGGGCGCGGCTGGCCATATCGGACCCGATGAGCTCGGCCGTCTTTTTCCACCGGGAGATGACGCTCTTCTTCGAGCACTACGTCAGGACCGGGGAGGAGTCGGTATTCGGGCACGTTGGGGCCTACTACGGGGCCGTGGAGACGAACGAGCGCGGCGCCCTCCACCTCCATGGGCTCCTCTGGCTCAGGGGCAACCGGGGCCTCGGCGAGGCGCTCGCGGGCGCCGAGACGGAGGAGCAGGCGGCGTACCGGGAGCGCATCGCCCGCTACATAGATAGCGTCTTCTCCGAGGTAAGGCAGCGGTTCAGATATTAAGACATCGCCCCCTTATATATTATAACTAGTACAGGCCAGGGGCCTTACACTAACCCATGGTCGTAGGAGCTAGACGCAGAAGGCTATTGCGCGGCTCAGGCGGAGAGGTCAGCCACAGACGATATATCCTCACGGCTTGATGACGTCGCACGCTTCACGGACACCTTCGACGAGGAGGCCAACTTCTGCGCGGGCGCAACGCAGGTCCACACGCACAGCGCGACCTGCGTCAAGTACTCGCTCGGGGGCGGGGCGCGCAAGGGGGACCTCTGCCGGTTCAAGGCGCCGTGGAGGCTGGTGGAGCGGACGGCGCTGACGGCGGACGGGGTGCTCGAGGTCCGGCGGACGCACAGCATGGTGAACCGGTGGAACAGGGCGATGGCGGTCGGGCTGCGGCACAACCACGACATGTCGTTCATCGCGACGCAGCGCAAGACCATGGCCCTGATCTACTACATCACCAACTACGCGACCAAGGTCGAGGACCCCGCGTGGAAGCGGGTGGCCGCGGCGGCCGAGTTCCTGCCGACTCTAGAGCCGACGGGGGCGGATAACAGCAGCAGCGCCGGCCACAACACCGGCCAGGAGGGTGGCGCCCAGGGGGGGGTAACAGCAGCAGACCCTATGGAGGGGAGTAAAACAAGGATGTTCCTGCTCAAGGTGGCGAACCGAATCTTTACGGAGCGGCCACTGTCCCAGGTCGAGGTAATCGCGAACCTCCTAGGGTATCCGGCCGAGTTTAGCAGCGGCGCGGCGTGGGCATATATCAACACGAACCAGCTCTACTGGGCCGTCTTCCGCCGGTGGCGATACCTCCGACGGGCAAGTGGCGCGGAGGCGACAGGCGACGCACCAGACGAGATGGTTATCATCAAAGAGGCCGGCTTAAGAATTCCTCTCGTCGAGGCCTACCGGCATAGGGGTGAGCTCCTGCGGAGCCTCTGCCTATACGACTATGCATCGGTCGTGAGGCTAAAGCGCACCAGCCGCAGCGCCGACGGCAGGACGAGCTGGGGCGAGATACCCTTTACGGAGAGCTGGGCGTACGGGAAAGGCTGGGTGCAGGTGCTTAGGCGGCCGGGCAGCGAGGCAACCGTATGCCTCGATGGATACCTCAGTAAGGAGCTTAGTGAGGCAGACGACGAGTCATGCCACCGAAGGTGTGTTCTCGTAAGATATTAGAGACTGCCTAAAAAGGGTAGGTAATGCCGCCCCAAGCATCAGCTAACAGTATCCAGGGCAGGGGTACAGCATCTCGCCCTGTTTGTGCCATGGGAGTCCTTTCTAGGCGAGGAGACAGGCGATATTAATGACATCTGGGCATGGGCACGGGAGCTGCTGACGCCGAGGGTCAGGCGACTCGCAGACAACGTACAGCTCCTCCGGCGGTCGGCCGAGGACGCGAGGCGGGACGCCAAGCAGTGGGCTGCCACGGCCGAGGAAGGCGACTTAGCGGCGGCGCGGGCCGAAGGGGAGGGCGGCGAGGCCGCCGAGGACGGCGAGGGGGCATACCGCGCCGGCGGGGCAGGCGACACGGCACGGCTCATCGACGTCGTCCGGAACGCCGCCGCCGCGGGACAGGTGACGGCACAGTCGGCGGAGCTGCTGGCGATGACGCAGCAGCTCTGCCGGTTCCAGCAGTCGGCGCTCGGGTCGGCCGCCGAGCTCGCGGCGACGGCGGTGACGGAAGAGAGAGCGGGCAGGCGGGTGGACCTGGCGGGCTCGGAGCTCTCAGGGGCGGCGCTGCCGCGGCAGGAGGAGGTGCGGGCCATCAAGTCGCAGCAGAGGAGCGCCGCGCGGGAGCGGGAGCGGGCCATCCAGGGCATCCAAGGCGCCGGGGCGACGGTGGGCACCAGGACCGACCGTAGCGCGGCTCTCCGTAGGGTCCTGGGGGGCTTCGGCGAGGACGACGTGGACGTGACGGCGGCCGACGGCGACCTAGATGCAGGCACGGCGGCAGGGATGCGCGTGCGGCTCGGCCCGTCGAGCTCGTTCCTCGCCGCCGGCCGGGAGCTGGCCAAGGAGCTGACGCTGAACGAGAAGCAGTCGATCGCCCTCCTCATCGTCTGCCGGCAGCTCGACCAGGTCCGGCAGGCCAATGAGGCAGGCGGCGACGGAGACGGGGAAGGTCAGCTCTGCCTGTTCATCGGCGGCGAGGGCGGCACCGGCAAGTCGCGCGTCATCGAGGCGCTCGTCGAGCTGCTCGCCCGGAGGAGCTGTCGAGCCGGATGCTAGTCACAGCGACGTCGGGCACGGCGGCAGCGCGGATCAACGGCATCACCTCCACTCGGCCTGCGGCCTCGCCGTCGGCCAGGGCGGCCAGGCGGGAGGGGCGACCAAGGGGGTGGACGGCGTGCGGCTGCCGGGCGCGGGCGAGCGCTTCGTCGACGGCCGGTCGCGCATGGACTGGCGGGAGAAGGAGGTGCTGGTGGTCGACGAGGTCAGCATGCTCGGGGCGCGCACGCTATACGCCGCCAACGAGCAGCTCTGCCGGCTGCGGGGGTCGGCGCGGGACTTCGGCGGCATCCCGGTGGTGATCTTCTGCGGCGACTTCCACCAGTTCCGGCCGGTGCAGGAGCGGTCGATCCTGCTGCCGAGCGCGGCGGTGTCGTGGGACGAGGACAGGGCCTTCACGGCCGAGCAGCGGCGGCAGCACGACAAGGCGCACGCGCTCTGGCGGCGGTTCACGACGGTCACCATGCTCGACGAGCAGATGCGGGCCGCCGGCGACCCCGAGCTGCGGCGCCTGCTCGGGCGGATCCGGCGGGCGAGCAGGACCGGTCGGACCTCGAGCTGCTCAACTCGAGGTGCCACCGGCCCGGCAGGCGGATACCGTGGGAGACAGGCGTGACGGTGGTCACGCCGCTCAACCGGAACCGCTGGAACCTCAACCTCGAGGCGGCGCTCGCGTTCCGGGCGCGGCAGCGGACGGCGGCGCGCGTCTTCCTCTCCGAGCACAAGTGGAAGGACGGCACGCCGACGGAGGAGGAGGCGATGCTGATGCTCGGCCAGGGCGACGACAGCGCGACGCCGGTGCCGGCCGTCTTCGTCTTCGTGCCGGGCATGCCGGTCGTCGTGAACCAGAACACGCACCAGGGGCTGAAGGTGGTGAACGGCGCCGGGTACACGGCGGTGGCGGTGATACCCGACCGGGCCTTCCCGGCCACCGCGTCTCGGCGGAGCTGACGGTGCACTTCGGCCGCCGGCGGGCATCGTGCTGGCGTCGGAGACGACCAGGGACCTCCACTTCGTCGGGATGCCGTCCGGGACGATCCTGCTGACGCCCATCACCGTCAAGATCACGGCGCAGCGGAAGCGGCCCTGGCAGCGCAACGACGTCGGCCGGCGCGGCCTGCCGTGCGCCGCGGCCTTCGCCTGCACCGACTACAAGGTGCAGGGCGGGACGATCGAGCGCGTCGCGCTCGAGCTGCGGGGGGCGAGGACGACGACGGTCGAGGGCAGGGCGGTGGCGTCGCCGTGCGACCCGTACAGCCTCTACGTGCAGCTCTCGCGGTGCCCGACGCTCGACGGCATCATGCTCGTATCGGAGGTGCGGGAGCGGGACCTTATAGGGAACCGGGTGCCCGGGGAAATGACAGCGGCGCAGGCCCGGCTAGAGGAGCTAAGCAAGCAGACAACACAGGAAGCAGGTAGCCTACTCCGCAGCTAAGGTAGGCGGGATTAGGACCATCACGATATTTATTCAGGGGAGAGGAAGACATATCTTAGCAAACTCGCCACCAAAGCGTCTTACTTCATCATCACCGAGAAGAAGATGAGAAGAAGGATAGAAGTAGGGATAACAAGGGCAACAACAGCTAGACTAGAAAAGGCAAGCGTACACACATATACCACTGGGTAGAATAGGAAGGCATAGATCTAGACAAAGACGGGCCAATATAGAAGGGGGGGGGCTTTAAAGAGCGCGAAAAGACCAAGCACAAGAGCCTCCAATCAGGAGTACGCTTCAAAGGGCCCAAAACGCAGAGGGGGGGAGGCAGAAAAAGGAGGGGGAGGAAGGACGTAGGAAGGGGTAAGTTATGGCCATATGGCCAATCGGGGGCGAGAACGCCGACGAATGAAAAGAGCTCAAAAGCGCCGACCAATCAGGGGGCCGGAAGGGCGGGGGGAAATTGATGACGGGGGGAAGAAATTGATGGCGATTTTTTTTTCCCCCGGGGAGGAACCCTTAAGTCCTTTCGTTCTCGTTCCGAAAGGCACTTAAGTCCTTTCGTTCCGAAAGGCACTCGTTCCTCGTTCCGAAAGGCACGTCACTCGTTCCTCGTTCCTCAAGGCAAGGCACTCGTTCCTCAAGGCATGCGCGGGAATCGGGACGGATTTTAGTCCCCCCAAGTAGGAGGCATCATCAACGCATCAGTGGCTTCCAGATGATCTGATCAGATGCTTCCATTCACTACCATTCCCTTCCATTCTCATATTCAGGCAGTCTATAAAGATCTCGCCTCTTTCCCACCTTAGATAGCAGAATCAAGAGTCTTCCAGTCCCTGGGGCCTGATCTTTATGCCCACTTGCTCATCCTCCGTGCGATACCTTCTTACCAGTTTCAAGTTGTATTACCCAAAGAGACCTAGAGACCTCAACTCGTTCAGACCTTCTTCTCGACAGAATGGGGCTGTGATAGCCTTGGCTTTTTTACAAGTAGGTCATCTACTTGGGGGCCTAAAAGTCGGCCCAATCCCCGCGCATGTCAAGTCATGCACCGGGGGGGGGCGTTGAGTAGGAAAAAAGTCGTTGATTGGGGAAAAAAAGGATACCTCGCACTACTAGGGGTGCCTAAAAGTCGGCCCCCGACCATGTTCCAAAGGGACACAGCATTGGCTCTCACAACCTTAAGGGCGCCTGTGAGTGCAGCCCTTCACAATTCTAGACGTAAAGCTTGTAAAGTAGCCCCTTGAGAGCGTCATTTCGAAACCCCGACTCTTGTTCTATCGCTTCAACCTCTTTATCGATCTCGGACTGCAGCTGCCTCAAGGCCGCAAGTGTGTAGTTCAAACTGCCCGACTGCTCCATGAGCTGCAGGATCAGTTGCTTGTGCTCCAGCGACGACTTGCCGTTGACTCGTCTTTGGGCTAGCATGTTACGCAAAACCATGCCCTGGTCCTCTGAGAGAGAATGGAGTGCATGGATTATAGGTAGGGAGTATTTGCCCTCGTCCAAATCTTCGCAGAACCCTTTTTGTCTGGCATACTGATAGCCGAGTTAGCTACATCAGTTCTCCCCCTTTCGTTATCTCCATGCAAGGTGCGACTTCCGTGGTCGGAATCACTTACATCATTTGAGCGCAGGTTCTGGTAGTCGTCTCTAATTCCGAAGTGTCTACCAAGGAGGATGATAAGGCAACGGAGGTCGGGTTTGTTTGTCGAAAGCGATGTCGCCTCCATAAGCCTGAGGAGCATGCGGAAGATACCACCTGTCTCTGCAACAAATTAGTAATATCACCTGAATGCTGCGAATTTATGATGGCAAGCCGCAAGCCATACTGTTATCGACCGACTTTAAGTGTTCCCCCACTGACGGGCACACGAGATTGCAAGTCCAGTATAAGTCAAGGCTCTGGCCGATATATAGAATCTTCAACTCCTCTGTAGACAGTTCGTCAACATTCACACATAAGAACGAGGCAATATGATAATTACCGAGCACAATGCTGACACAATCCATGCTACCCAGTTTGAGCACCTCATCCAATGCTTGTATGATTTTGTAACTTGCCGAATTGATGGTCTGGGCAGGTCCGAAGATGGTGTGAGTTGCGGGCATCCCTCGGCGCAAACTGGACGAATCTTGGATATCATCGAGCATCAGCGAGGACTCATGTAGCAAGGTGACAATTCGCTTGATGGTGGTTGTCGACTTTTCTGGAACATTTAACCATATATTCAGAGTATCGATAATTGTATTTCGAACTCCTTTAGCAGGGAGTGATTGTAAATATACTGCTGGCGCTTCGATCACCTTAGACAGTTAGTACAGGTTGTGGACAAAATTAGCCCTAACTACCTATAGTTCTTACTTCATCACCCAGAAGTGGTAGGTCCCTGATTCGGAGGAGTTTGTCCAACCCGAGTGCCTTTAACTCAGGAAATGGAACATTGCCGCTCTCACTGGGGAGAACCCAACTAGTATTTTCGATAGTCTGAAAACACTTCGATTCAACCCCATCTTGGTTCGCACTTGCTGTGTTTTTCAACGGCTCTGTCGTCATCTCGAATATGCAGGCATTCGAAGTCACATCCTCCTGAACAGCGGTGACGTCCATATCATTCAAATCTTGATGTTGGACTTGGAGTAGGATGCTCTCGCGCAGACCCTCCCTTTCCTGTGTTGAATGGTCTGCGAGGGTAGATAATTGGAACTCACGATAGAGGAACACGTAGCCTAGAACGAAGAAAACATTGACGAGAGCAAGAAATATCAGATCTTCCACTAGAGCCATGAAGTATTCTCGGCTAAGTGCCTCAAGATCGGCATCATAGTCGTCCCGTGATGGATTTATGTTCCTTGTTTATGAATGGTGCTTGATGTTTCCGGTCTGTGCATGGGTAACATGGGGTGGCAAGTCGTCATTGGTCCACGTGTTCCACTAGTTCTCGACCCGTTCCTGAGACACGATGGGAACACGCATATAAGACAATTTGGGCGCATCTCGTTCAGCCTGATGGTTGGTCCCCGTGTTCCAATTCGTAACGAGATATGCCCCAAGGTTGACCGTTCCCGCAAGTCGTCATTGGTACCACGTTGTTCCAAGGTCACATGGACCAAGTACAGACATCAGCTGACAACTAGTACCATTTGAGGTGTGGGCCTACAAATCTCTAGAATTGTGAAGGGCTGCACTCACAGGCGCCTTAAAGGTTGTGAGGGCCAATCAATGCTGTGTACCTGTGGAACAGGGTCCGACTTTTAGGCACCCTTACCTAGTAACCTTACCTTAGTGCGAGGTATCCTTTTTCCCCCAATCAACGACTTTTTTCCTACTCAACGGACCCCCCCGTGCATGACTTGACATGCGCGGGGATTGGGCCGACTTTAGGCCCAAGTATCCGTAGATGACCTACTTGTAAAAAGCCAAGGATATCACAGCCCCATTCCGCAAGGATAAGTAAGGGAGGGTTAACCATCCACCACTTTCTACTATTCGTCCACCAAAAAAGTACGTATACCGTAAGGCTTGCTGACCCACCTTTCTCAGAGAGGGAAACTCTAACTCACTGAAAGAAACAGTTATCCAAGACAGGGGCTCTCCCGCTAGCCCCGCTAGCCCCGCTAGCCCCGCTAGCCAGTCTAGCATTGTGTCACGTATAAGGATGTGTCAGAGGTCTTCAGAACGTTGTTGGTAAGCAGTGGCATCGAACCTTCTAGATGACAACGTCATCTAGGCGGCCTGGGTGGCGACATGATATCGCCACCCCAAGGCAGCCACAAGTGACAGAACTATGAGAAGTGGCTTTTGTTAGAGAGAAGGAACAATCACCTCAGAGCAGTCAATACACAACAACCTCTATGCACCTTTTCGTACTCGTAACGCGACACATTGCCATGTCTCTGATTTTTGACGTGGATGATTCTTATAGGTGCCCGCTCTTTAGTGGTCCACGAGGACTAAAAAGCTGTGAGATATACCTCCGATATGCAGGCGTAATCTACGAGCATGTTTCTCACAACACTTAAACCGCATTAGCACGCGGGCGGTACATTATGTAGCAAACTTACTACCCGTTGATCTTGGTGTGGGGCCACAGCAGCCCAACTAAGTGTCTTCGCCACTTAGTTGGCCCAAAAAATCCGGCACAGCAGGGTCCTCAATTTGGGGTGCAAAATCAAGGGAAATTCTACGCTTCGCTTCATGGTGCCGTCAATGCGACTTCAAATAGCTAAAATATACATGTGATCAATAGCTGCGGATCACCTAAAGACGCAAGTAACAACGAAAAGTGAAAAATCACGTCTTTGGGCCTATTTAGGAGCTGCCGCCTTCCAGTCGAAGAGATAGGAAGACCGCGTTTGTGAGTCCAAATAGACGTATTATGTAGTAATTTCGCCTGTTGTGCGTCTCTGAGAGCTATTTTATCCATACCTGTGTTCCTGGAGCGTCTGCTGTATCTTGTTGGACGATCGGGTGCGCGGTCGAGGGCATGGTGTATCGACTACCGCTTCAACCGCTGCTAACGGCGGCGATGAGGGTATATTCTCTTGCGTGTCGAGTAAATTGTCCTCGTCTTCATCGTCGGCGCCATCCTCACTATGTTTGTCAAGATCGAGGCCTGTGAAATAGACGGTATCGTCACTGCCGGGCAACGACGACATATCTGTAAGTGGGCGAGGTCGGTCGCTGCGCGCGCCCTGACATCTCTGGCGGAGTTATTTCTCTTCGTGGTATCATAGAAAAGGATTCCTTGGATGGCTCTTTGAGCTCCCGCATGAGGGTATCGCAACTTTGCTCCAGAGTGTAGAACTCAACGTCTCGTCCCGTAAACTCTAGCCAGGGCTTAAAGTTCAATGTCTTGACTCTGCCATTGACTAACTGCTTCTTCCCGACTTTATAGTCTTCTCGGATCTTCTGCATCTCTCCACGAACTCGTTTAAGATGCATCCTTATCTCCTGGCGCGTTTGAAGCCGGGTTTGCTTTGCCTGGAGCTCCTCATAC